AGAGATGGGTCGGCACACGTGGATGGCGGCTGGTTCCGAGGCAGAGGGCAGATTAGTGGCCCTCCGGTGAATCACTATCACTATTCACAGAGGTTTGCAGGGCCTCCCTGACAAACCCCTCAAAGTCCATATCCTCACTGTCACTATCACTGACCTGGGCTGGCTGTGGTTGTGGTGGGTTGCGGGCGAAGAAGTCCGTAATACTACGTTGACGACTAGCATTGATGTTGTCGTCATGCATCTGGACATACGGCTCCATAAATTTCGACAGAAGGTTATTAGACACTTCATACCGATGCTTGACTGTGCCTTTGTCAAGGATGAGCTTGATATTCCCCGACAACTCGATGACTTCCTTCACATAACCATGGCTTGGTCCAGGTAGTTCAAGGTTTCTCGGGGGTGGTGGGGGTCCAGCGGAAGCCATTGTGAGGGGAATAGTGGGCACAAGAGAGAACAGTGTACGCGGAGACTGAGAACAATGAGACTGGGCCGGCTAGGTCAGCGACTTTTTCCCTCTGGTGGCAGGGCACGTCATGTTACATTAGACCAATCACAGCTAGCGGCGGAGGGAGGTAAGGATGTGTGACCCAATCACAGTCCGATACGTCATATGACCTCAGAGATAACGTAAGAGCTACCTAATGCGCACCCTCGAAGCGCCGCTTCCCGCGTAAATGATGGAATGAACCGCGTAACTTAAAATTTTCATTCTGGCAAGGTGCCGCGCAAACCAAATCCGTGTAAATCGAGACTATACTGTACTAAGTTTTCATGTTACCGTGTACAGTTAAAGCTACTATTAGGGGTGGCTCTAGTGATCGGAATAGTCTTCACAGGCAGTTACAGAGGGTTTACTATATATTTTAGGCTTGGCACTCCAAATTCCAGACAAAAAAATCATATCCAACAGCCCCCAGGTCCCAAGTATGCCAGATAAATGGTCCCATGCCTGTACTTAATAAGTTGCATTTGTTTAGGAAAATTATTTTAATTTATAAATAAAAATCTCTAAACAATCATATATTATACATCCAACAAGAGAGGGATAATAACCATCTTGGATCTAATTAATTGACCCACTAAATAACCATCAGTTTGATTCCCCTGAACAACATCTAGTACCCTCCGGAAACCTTCTCTTAACCTAACATTGAATCAATTAGCTTTCACTTGTAATGAGCCACAGTTTGTACGTAATACTGTAATAAAGACGTAAAAGGAATTACACATAGCTCAATCAAGTTAATACTGAGAATATATGGTCTAGTTCACCACTTGTGTCTATAATCGTCTCATGGTAACTCTCTCTACCTCACTTGAGACTCATCAGCATGAGTCAGTCATAAAACTGCTTACTTCTTGGATTCAATTTCAATAACTGACCTATTGAAGTAAGATAATAAACTTTACTGATGAAAGTTACAATTATTATCAGGTAAAACAGACATACTGAACTCTCCAGGGTAAACATATACAGTACAGTATTAATGAAAGAGATACAGTCACATTGTGTGCCATTCTAATAAGAAATGAGCAAAATAAATAAAACAAAGGTTCACAAAGTTCCATTCATCAAATTATGCGAAGAGAGTTAGTTGAAAAGATTACTGACACTGCTCATGTTCATGATAAATCAGTGCTTCTTTCTTACCTATAGTAATTACTACCTTGGTTGGCTAGATTTTGGTATTCTTAAAATAATGCAGTTGGGAGCTAAGGATTTTTTAAAGCTTTTTTCTCATTACAATTGTCACTTTATTATTATATTGAGAACAGTATTGTTGCTGCCTTAATTTGAAGGAAGTGCCATTTCATATAATTTTCCTAACATATTCACTTGTGTGGTCTTGAAGTCTAGTGAGAAAAATTATAATTTTTGATCACTTGAAGCTGATATAATTACAGAGAGCTCCAGTTACGCTTGTGGACAAAATTTCCTCAAAACGTTTAGCAATATCTGACATCTACCTGAGGGTCACATGAGAAAAAGGATTGGGATTTTAACACATCTTTGGCTAAGATTTTTCTTTGTATGATAGTGTGTGTTTCTATGTTGTTACACTGCATGACTTATAATTTAAATTAGACTTCACAGTTATAACTCAAAGCTATAAACTAATCCTACACATGACCTGCGACAGTATGCCAGATACTTCCAAGTGTTCAGGGTATTTTGGTCTCAACTGTGCATGATCTATCATTAAGGGATGAAGCCAGTTTGCAGTTACATACAAGTTTAAATGCTTGAATGGTGATACCCAACAAAATGTGTCCAGAATGATCTTATTCTTCATATAGGGTACAGCATAAGTTTTATCAGAACTGTACTCTGAAGTAAGGAAGTACAGTACAGTGAGTTCTGCTATAACACGTGTTTTGATAACGCGAATTTGCTCTAACGCGATTTATGAATTAGGAACGATATTTGTATAACGCGAACGCTTGTTTGCTATAACGCGATTTTTGCTTACTATTTCTCCAATTTTGTGGTATTAACTGTGAATATGGTAAAGAAGAATATCTCCAAGAAGAGTTCTTGTGATAGAATTCCCGGTGATGATCGTAAAAGAAAGGATATAACACTTGAAGAGAAGCTCGATTTTATCAACCTCAAAATCACCCTTCTCCCCCATCAAGTTACAATCATATTTTTTCAAGGTAAAGTGTTACATTTACTGTATGATTTCATTATTAGATATGAATGTAACATTTATTTAGACTGTGCTATCCTTTGTGTTAGGCTAACTACTAAATTTTTTCGATTTCGAGTAATCTGCACCTAACCCTATTTTCTCCATAAGCCCTGTTATTTCTATTACGCGATTTTCTATAACACGATATTTTACAAGAACACAATTATCGCGTTATAGCAGAACTACCTGTACCATAGTTCAGGAGACTGCACTAAATTAGAAAGCCATAAAACCTAATTTTAAAGCAGTGAATAAGCTGGGTTGATGGGAAGTGCTTTTGGTATGTCAATAAACCTGATCAAGGTCTTATGTTAGGTCTCTAAATGAGCAATACTGTACTGTGAAAACATTTCCATGCAGAGGGGCTACCTAACAAAAGGGTAGTGTCAAGTTTTTTGACATTGGTTTACTTTTAAGTTTTGTTCTACTGGTACAGTATTCACATTTCTTATCATACCTAAAAAAAAGAAGAGGTAGAGTACAAGATTTTTTTTGAAAAACAAAGTAAAACACTATTAATTAATAACAGCAATTAATTTTACACTTGCAATTATAAAATACTGTAATAATAATAATAATACAGTATACTGTAGTATTAACACTCTCAGGATCATTCACTCATATGTGGCATTTTGATTTAAAGTAAATGAAACTTTTGTTGCGTATAGTTCATTTTCTGTAAAAGTTCCTGGTAGAATTACCTCAAATTTTAACACCACCTTCTTCACGCTACTCTCCTGCATGGAACCAAGTTTTAAGGCTAGGTGGCAACCCTTTTACTTGTGGTAGACTACGCCAAGGTAGGTAGATACCAGGTAGCCTCACGCAGGCCCATAGGAATTCACTATTTGGCAACTTTACTCTCGAGATCGCTAAGCCACGCCCCTTTTGCCACTTCATGCGTTTGTAATATTGAGGTATTATTATCTACTGCTACTGTTTGATGTAACTGAGTGGGTGGAGCTTAATAAGTGATGTCATCGCGAGCCAATCAGCGACGTTGGATGGAATCCAGCGGTCACAAGCGTCACAAGTAAGATATTTATATTTGTTTTATATATTTAATCTGTGGCCCCAATTAAAATAAAACAAAACTCTCCATTCCATACATTTATTGTGCAACTTTTAATACCATCATAAGCCTTCAAAATACGTAAATAAAAATTTAATTTTTATTTTCATTAGCGTAGATCCAAAGGGAGTGAGGCTACCTGGTATCTATCTACCTTAGACTATGCGGCCCAGTAAGCGAGGGGTGTGTGTGTCTCGGGTGTGATTTAAAAATGACTACCATGGCATTTGCACCACTATCTCTAAATATTTATTACTTACAATCTCGATATATATTCTTGTGAAGTGATAAAGTGATGTGTATTGAAATATTTAGAATGAAATAGTGAAATATCTTTTTAATTTACGAGACGTTGATAAAATGGCTACTCACAATACAGTGGTCCCTCGGTTAAAGAACACAATTTGTTCCAGAGGGTCATTCGTTAACCAAAAATTTCGTTAACCAAATGCATTGTTTCAATGGGATATTGGGTAATTGGTTCCAGCTCATTGAAAAGTACATACAAAGTAAAAAAATAAATGCAGTAAGGTACACTTACTTTGAGGTGTGTATGTAGAAGGTTCCTGGTTGATGATGATGGTGGGAATTAGAAGTGGGGGTGGAGGAGAAGGGAGAAGAGAAGGAAGTGGGGATGGAGGAGAAATCACCTTTCAGGGGACCCATGCTTGATGCCGTCATTTCACCCATAAAATTTTAAGTTCACTAGGTGTAATTCAAGATTATTTTATTTAAATCAACACTGCACTATAATGTATATTATCAATATATTAACTAAATTTCAGAATGATCAATAATTTCAATGAAAAATGCAAAATATTCAAGACACCAACAAAATAGATGTTCACTCCACTGTCAACAGAACCCAACTGACGCCTGTTGGCCGAGTCAAGCGTCTGATGGGCGCACAAAAAAACTAGTTCCCTGTACTGCATATGTTATAAATATGTTAAATAAATGTTAAAATGACTAATAATTTTAATACAGGTTGACAATCCCTTATCCGAAATCCTTGGGGCCAGACATATTTCGGTTTTCTGAATTTTTCGGTTTTCTGAATGGTTAGGTTGTTAGGTTAGGTTAGTTTCAGTTCAGTTCAGTTAGGTTTGGCATAAATGAAATTGTGGGATAAATATAGTCCATAAATACTCTAGTACAGTTTATTTGTAAGGAAAACATTCAGTAAAACTTCAAACAGATACAGTAAAGGTACATTACAGCTGGCTTGTTTATCATGAAGAGGACACATCAGTGTTGTCATCGTCATCATCAAGTAGAAGTCGGAGATCTGAAGATGGGCCAGGAGCAGGACTCTCAAGTGATGACTCAACACTAGGACAGATGGCCTTTTTAAAGGCTTCTTCCAGTGTCATCTGTCTCATTAACAGTGGTTTCTGTCTATTCTCTCTTTAATTGAATAAACTGCCATAATCTCGTGCTCACTGATAAATGCACGTTGTTCAAGGGCAGTAATTAACTGATCACAGGTTTTCACCACATCGTCTATGGAGACTTTTTCACATGTGTTCACAATTTCATCATCATCATCATCATCATCACTACTATCCTCATGCTTATCTTTATTTAGCACCATTTCAGCTATTTCCCCATCACTCAATGAATGCACAACAGGTGCATCATTGTCAATGTTCAGCACTTCTTCAATGTCGGCTTCCTCCAACTTATTTACACTTTCGGAAGATAAACCTTTGGCGTAAGTAAGGTGGTTTCATATCACCATCTTCTCTTTAGTGACACGAAATACTTCAAAGTCTTCATCTGCATCTTCATTTACTTCAAACATCGTTGTAGGCCAAAGTTTGTGCCAAGCATTTGTTAATGTTGGTTTATCAACAGCATTCCAAGCATTAGCAACTAAATAAATGGCATCCTTAACATTGAACTCTTTCGTGAACCTTTGGATTCCTATGCCTCTGTTGACTGTATCATGCATACAGTTAAAAAAAACATCTTTATAATTGCTCTTCATGGAGCGTAAAATTCCTTGGTCACAAGGCTGTATTAAAGACTTCACAATGGGGGGAAAGTAAATGCCAAAAACATTACTTTTCACAAGAAGTTCAGCAGGGGGATGTGCGGAGCAGTTGTCAAGGAACAATAGAATTTTACAGTTTGCTTCCAGTCCAGCTTCCCTGCAATGAGCTCGTGCTGATGGTACAAAGTGGTTATTGAACCAGTCAGAAAATAGTTCTCTGGTTACCCATGCTTTCTTGTTGGCATAATAATGCACAGGTAAATTGTGTACACCTTTCAGACATCTTGGTCGTCGGCTTTTTCCAATCACTGCCAAATTTAACTTGTGTGTGCCTGCAGCATTGGCACACCCAAGAACAGTCAACCTGTCCTTAGCATCCTTAACACCTGTTGGTGCTCTCTCATCAGCTGTTGTTAACGTTTTTCTAGGAATGTAGTGCCAGTACAGAGCTGTTTCATCAGCATTGTAAATTTGTTCAGGGCTAAGGTTTTCATCAGATATAATTTTGGCAAATTCGTCAATGTAATTTTCAGCTATTTCATGATCAGCAGAAGCTTTTTCACCACAGATTTTCAGATATTTTATACCATGACACTTCTTAAATTTCTGCAGCCAACCTTCTGAATATTCACACTCACCATCAATGTTCAGTTCTTCATGGTATATTTTAGCTTGTTTCATGACCATCAAACCAGTCAGTGGCATACGTTCAGGTCTTCGTTGTCGAATCCACTCAATCAGCACGCGGTCAAGATCTTCATTTTTTGCCCTATGCAATGTTTTTCTGTTTTTCATTATTTTTGGGTCATCACTGTCAGTGTAAAACTTCAACAACTTGTCTTTCTGTTTCTTTAAGTCATATATGGTGGTAGTTCCCACACCATATTTTTCATTAAGATGCCGCATAGGCACACCATGATCAAGCTTCTGTAACAACTCCACTTTCTGTGCTATCGATAATGAGAGAAGCTTCCTTTTCTTCTCACTGTTACCCATAGGGGCATCTGAAGCTCTTTTTGGCATTTTCAGTGAAATTAAACAAAATAACAAAAATATAAGAGCAGCAGATGCAAATGTGTGACTAGCAGCAACACCGAGACACAAGTAGCGTCAGGTCCAAGTCATGTTCGATTTCACACAGTGATGCAACACGAAAAAACTTTCGGTTTTCAGAGCTTTTCGGTTTTCGGAATGCCGGATAAAGGATTGTCAACCTGTATAAAAAAATGCAAAAATATTAAAGAGCACAACTTTCTTGATATTTACTCCACTGGAAACGAATGTAAGCATAGAACAGATTACTGAATTGGCAGCCTAGCCCATCAGCTGATCAGCTGATGCTCACAACAAAACGTGATGTTCGTAAGGATTTTGTTAATCAAAGTTTTGTTCGTTAACCGAATTGAAGATCCTTATGGGAGGTAATTCGTTAACCGAAATTTCGTTAATTGAACCGTTCGTTAACCAAGGGACCACTGTAGTCGCATATACCACACAAAAGCATGTCGTAATATATTGGCCTAGCTTGGAAAAATAATAAGTGATAATGAAATGCAGTGCAGTAGAGACATGCGCATGGGGATAGTGAATTATAATGAATACATTTTGCTTATCTGATACGTATTCCTAACTGCATCATCATTGCTGAGCATATGCAAGGCCTATCATTTCTAAGTGGTAAGTGGAAATACAGTATTAATACCCAAATTAAATTTTTGTCACAAAAACTTCTAGCTGGTCTATTTATCTTCCTTAGTATATGTACAGTAATAATCCACTGTAAAAAATACTTTTGAAAGATTAAAACAAAACTAGCAAAGGAAAAAACGTGTATAAACATTTTGGTGACTGAGCCTAACTACAATACCACTTATTTTTACATTTTAATCTGTAACTCCATGACGTTCCCCATTATATTTTTTCTTGTTACACCATCATCTTCCTCATGATTTACTCTTTTTTGCAACATGCATTTTATACAGTACTGACTGATGTAATGATGTGGATACAACACAAAGAGGAATCAACAGTAAACTCTCACTTTTCACTTATACAGTACAGGTAGGTACTCACCAAAATTAATTTATTTTTGAGGGTTTCATATGATTTCCCAGCCTTTTTACACAAGAAGGCATCATTTGAATAAATATTTGACAATATCTTAGCCACGAATGGAGCTCGGGAAAAAATACCTTCTCTACAATTTCCGGTCATTCTGCGGGCTCCAAACAGAGTGAGAGGCTTATAAAATATATTTCAGACGATCCCGAGAGTGTTAATGATTTTGTAACGTTTCAAAACAATAAACTTTTTTGTTCACTCTTATCGACTGGAGATCACAAATGGCAGTTTGATCCTTAAATGACACCAAGCCAGGACTAACTGACTTGAAAACAGTATTATCCCACTAAGTCTATGAAAACAATAGCCAGGGAATCTCTCAACAACCAAAAGCTGGAACTACAGTACAGTTCAGTAATTCGTCTAGCAGTTACACCTTCCAACTGAAACTAGAGCTTTTAATAAGAGGTCATGGAAATAGAGTTCACCACATAATGTTGGAGGCAATGAATTGTGGCGTCATATCAAAAAAGTGCATCTCATGAGTCCCTGTAATTAGCCATAACCTGTGGTTTCAATTTATCATTTCACCACTTATTAGCTTAACAGTCATTTGGACAGTCAGTCTGTTCTTTGTTATGACCTTTATTGTCCAGTGTTTGTACAGAAGGAAAACCTGGAGAAAAATTTCCATGTTTGGTAAGGTCACAGTGGATAATACCCTTCTCACAAGTGTACCAATAATACCTCAGTTCCAGCTACCTACATCGCTCAGTAATTGAAAATAAGACATAATAATCTAATATAAACTTGGAAATGCTTCCAGGAAGAATCAAATTGTCTGAATGACAATCCACATGAATCTAGCTTAGTAGCAATATAAATAATACCTCCTATATATTCCAAACATGAAGATAAATTAATGAAGGAAAAGGACAGAAACAATTTTCCCCTCCCTTCTCTCTGACTCAAAGCCTGAGAGAATCTTAATTTTTTTCACATAACTGAAGGAGAAATAACCTAATTCTGCTTGGCTAAAATTGAGCTGCCATCTCTACTAGTCCCCTGAAACTGTTAAAGTTCTCAATATACAGCATTTATGAGTCTTGGGAAAACATTAAATTGTTTCCAAACATTTCAATCCCTGCAGAACCCTCCAGTGAAAATGGTTGTCACCACCAGTTTACTCCCTAAAAGAATACACCAAAATTATTTATATCTAACATCCATCTGATGGCACCACCACAAAGTCTGTCTCACAGTAATAGTGATCATGATAGAATAAGAAAGCTCCAGCACATGGTGAAACACTTCAATGGATTCCCTGAGTTTTAACTACAAAGACTTAGAGGAATAATATACAAATTGCTCAGGACAGATGGTCCTAAAAGCCAATTTAAAGTTTTTGGTATGTCTCATAAAGATGACTGAAACTGTGTAACTGTTGTGACAGCTCCAGGGGCATGTCCATTGACTTCAGCCTTTTTCACCGTCTCACCAAGTTTTCGTACGTCCAGCATCAGTTCTTTTTTCTCTCCTCCAGACAGATCAGCATCAGAGGGTGACAAAGGTGGCCATGTCTTGTCCTCTCTCAAATCTCGCTCAATTGCTAGATATTTTTTCTTGGACTTGTCTACATTGTGGAGCTTACTTTTGCATTTCCGGTAGCACAGATAGTCAATGATGAAATACTCAACGAAGAAAGCCAGTGCAGAATATACAACTGAAATTAAGATCATCTGCCATCTAAAGAAATCTGCTTGTGGATCTCCTGCAGGTGGTAACACTAACTCAAATGAATCAATGATGAACTGAGGAGGAGACATTGTCAGAACAATACTACAGACAGTCATCACCAGAATGGAACCAGACAACAAGTAGTTGGAGTAGACATACTGACGGAAAGGCGGACCACGAGAAAACACAAGTGCAAGAATGATGTACTGAAATTGAGACACCGAGAAGACAGCATAATTTTCATGGCCAGCATATATTTCGTCTGCTGTTGAGGCATTGAAAGGTACATACCAGGGTTGTTGCTGAACATAAAAGAAGCAAAATGTCTGAAAGATAATTACCAAAAACAAGTGAAATAATATTGACAGTATGGGTGCAACTGACAGGAGAGAAGCCGGGGGTGAATAAGATGCTAATAGCCCCTTATATGACTCAGTGCGGCCAAAAAATATTGCAAACACAGTGATGAGGAAGAGATCAATCCATAGGAACTGAAAGTCAGTAAGGTTACTATCAATAGAATAGAGAACCATAATACTAACAAACTGTGTAAGAGAATAAGCTGCCATGTACTTAAATATACCAAAACTGGTTACAAGAGCACAGCGTCCTTCCCTGATGAGAATGGGCACACAGGAAACATTAGCATGGGCAGATGTAAAGGGAGAGGCTACGGATGCCTCAGTCTCAGAGAGGGAGATTCCAGCATGGGCAGCTTTGAGGGCACCACAGTCATTAGCTCCATCACCACACATTCCTGAAATTTACAAAAATAAATAAATCGTACATGAAATAACAGAAACAAAAGGTTCTATTCCTAATCTATCAATAGCAGTAAGTATAAAAGTGCTCCAAAAACTAACTACTGTTATTAGAGATGGGGAAATATTTTTTAGAATTCTCCAATGGTTGGCAATACTGTGGTAGGTAAGGACCCGGTCTAATGGAAAATAAGAGTGACTGAATCTGGACTGCAGCAAGTTTTGGCGTGGATCCCAGCATTTCCCCTCTCTCCCTTCCCCTGAAAACTTTTTTGTTCAGTTATTTTTTCATGTGCACCATTTGAGATTATTGTACTTTTTATTCCTTTAATATGTATTAGAGAAAACGGTTTCAATAGGGTAGACTATAATATCCTGAGTAATACTGTATAAGTTATGTGCTTATTTACATACTCAGACTTGATTTATATGTAGAGAAAAAAAAATATTTTTGTTAAACTGTATGAATCTGTATTACAAAAAATCACTACATATAAACATCAACACCATCTCTGAAACATTTATCATTTGTAAACCAAAATATTACAAAAACATGCTAATCTTGGTAGCCATGGTGCCATACTCTATTTTTTTCCATATGATATAAAATTCTGTATTTGCAAATTCATAATTGAAGACGATTTCCAAGAACGTAACCCTCGGGAATACGGGGTAATAGGTGTATCTGGCAACCCCCAGGTCCTAAGCATGCCAGATAAATGGTCCTATAGCTGCAGAGTAATTTTACTCATTATGTGTACTATGTGTGTTCAATGATTTCTTATGGAAGGATCATTTCCGGTTTATGGATAATTCTGCTTATGGATAGCCTCCAGCAACGGAACTTATCCATAACCCGAGGAGTGTCTGTACTTAAAAATAATGTTTATAATACTGAGGGAGAATTCTCGAAGGTAACCTTCACATTATCATTCATAAAATGAGGTAAGTCATGCATTGTGGCCAGCCAGGCTAGTGCACTCATAGTCTTTGTTTACTACAATGAGGTGAAGTCAGTGCCAGGTTGACCCAGCCTAGTTAGCCAGCAAGCCTAAACAACATTTCTTTAACACATGCAAATTTTATGTATCCTTCAAACTCATTACCATAAGATATGATGCTTACCAACATAGTATCCAAGAGCCTGAAGTTCCAGTACAAGTTGTTGTTTTTGGTCCGGACTCATGCGAGCAAAAATGGCTCCACGAACTACTAACTTCTGTAGCATATCTGGAAAGTACTCGTGCACCACTCCCCACGACTTGCCTTCCATTGCAAAACAGTATGAGTCATTCGTATCATCTTCCAAGTTGATGCCAACACCAGCATCCACTTGTGTTATCACCTGTATAAAGAAAAACAATAGTGAATACAAGTATAATATGCTGAAAGACAAATTTTGTGGTCTCCTCTTGCACTAACACTGGACAGGAAGGTCATAACAGAGAACTGTGTGGAACAGAACAGACCAACTACCCAGCCGACTAGTAACCTGCAAAGTAGTGAAAATGATAAATCTGCCTTTTCTAATAAGAGAAGTTCAAAAAAGTTATAAAAGCTGCACTAGTCTGATAATTAGGTTAAAATCTATAATTTGTCAGAAAGTATTCAAAGTGCTGTCTTCAACAGGTGGTCAACAACTGAGGTGTCTGAGATTTTATGTAGCACCCTGCTTTAATTTTATGGATAGCAGGCCCATATCCAGAGCATGAGAAAGGAGGAGTTACAGTGTTGGACAAAATCAACAATAAACATATGCCAATTTATGATGCTGAAGCTAATGTACTGCTTTAATCACATAATCATTCATAGGCTCCAACCGGATCACGGGGTTCATAGTTTGGAAATCAAATAAATAATCAATGTATAATTTTTTTCTGGAACAACCAAGGGAGGGAGGATACAGACTCACAATAACCCCCTGGATATGGTCCTGGATAGTACTGTACATAAGAGATGGAGCTGTAGCCAACAACACATACAAACAAGAGCACCTACCACTGGAGAGGCTGGGGTGTTTGCTGTGGTGGCATGGAATGTGAGACGGGGACGGAGGCCCTGGTGTGGAGGAAGAGCTTTGATGCTAATAACCTGCTGCTGGGGACCAACCAGACCACACTCACGGCCAACACTCAAGGCAGTCAGCAGGTTATCCCCTGAAAGACAAAAATAAATAAATAAATGGCTTAGCTTCTTCTAGCACTGTACAATACAGGGCAAGCTGTGACAAAATTGGCTGGTAAGTGTTTTGATTTTTAACTTCTTATGTTATTTATGTCAACAAGGTAATTTTTCATCTATAAATGGCTATAATATCATCATCAGACACCACTATGATTACCCTTGAAAGTTGTCCCATAGAATTAACACTGAAGAATGCATCCCTATAGGAACCATGTTATAATAACCTCCTTTAACAGATTAATCAATTAACAGATATACTTTGGCCATCATAAGACATTTTTCTGTAGCTAATCAACTTACCAGTGACCATTATAGTTCTGATGTTCGCCTTATGAAGCTGACGAATAATTGGTGTTGATTCCTTCTTGAGTCTGTTCTCCATCACCAACAAGCCAAGGAATTCTAGGTCGCATTCCACTTCATCACGGTTGATGCGCTGGGCCTTGATATACGAAATCTTGAGAGGACGCCATCCCAGAGCAAGTACACGATACCCTTGATAAGTATACTGTAGCAGCTGTTCAGAAAAGTTAACTGGTACTGTCTCTGGTCGTGACAAACTTGCTATCATCTGCAAAAGATATATAATCCACTTATAATTTTTTTTTTTTACAGTTAACTTTGAGGAAATATTTAGGATACATTAGTGACATGTTTTCAGTTAACTATCAGCAACTGAAGGGACACAACATAAATAATATGTTGCATGTAATAGTCACATCTTTGCTGTACACACCTAAAGAAATACTGTACTGAAGAAACCATTATAATAAGTGTGTGTGTCTCGGGTTGGGAGTCCAATGTGCTACCAACTGAGCCATAAATGTAAATGATACAGTGTAAATAATATACATACCGTACACATACAGTGTATTAATTAATTGCCGAAGAAAAAATGAGACATACAATATTCAAAAGTTGAAAACTTAAAAGTCATATTTCCTGTAGTCCCATGCAAAGGTGTTTTAATCATTAAAATAAACATCTTTACCACAAATCTGCTTCTTATTTTGGGTGATACAGTACTGTACAACTTTTCCTTCATATTAAGTAGTATAATTATAAAGTACAAACAAACTGTAACTCACTTCAGGAGAACCTTTACAATAGAGTTCAAAGTTTGGAGCCCCAAGTTGGCGAGTAATGACTGACATGCGCTGTAGGGTGGACGAGAATGGAAACTGACGCAGGATTCCCAACTCTAATGGTGGCTGAAATGGAATTAATCCATTATGAGGCGGCTATATATGTATACTGTATTAATGGTTGTCAATGATATAACAGATGAATTTTTTTTTTTTTTTCACTCTTAGAAGTCCTTTTCTGCCTTACTGTATTTGTTATGAAATAAGGTGACCAACAACAAGGATAACACAGCCTCTTGCTCACTTAGTTGCATTCATTCTTTTCAACAGCCTTCCCTTAATGAGATACAATTTTTTTTTGCATTACAACACATTCATACACTGACACATTTTTTTAAATGATATATAATGTATGTATAGTATATAAAATAACAATACAGAATTGTGAATTATGTAGAACTTCCATGGTTAAAGGTGGCCAATTGAACGAATTATTGATAATTTACAAATGAAATAGAAATATGGAATATCTCACCTCATTCTCTACATTCTCGTTGCTGACAACAATGTCAGGGGCACTCGGTCGTACAACAGACGGCATCATCATGTCATACTTGTTAGTATCATCCAGGCCTGGTTCATCCAGGTCCCAGCAAGTACTCTTAAGCATTATTAAATCTAAAGGATCTCCCACCTGTTAAAAAACATTGTTAGAATCAGTATAAAAAAAAGAAAATGAAACTGATTTAATGTCACTTTACACTAGTGTTGATGAAGTCAATAGTTTGTAAATACAGTTTTACCCCGCCTAACGCGGTTTCACTTAACGCGTTTTCGCATATACGCGGTGCCTTGCCAAAGCTGAACTTTCACTTAACGCGGATTTTTTCCACATATACGCGGTGAGTGTCCGAGACGCTATTTTTAGATTTGCCCCACCCGCCACCCTGCCTGACTGCCTGTTTTAGCTCATAAAATTCATACAAATTACCAGGCCAGAATATAATTTACATTGCTGGAATTCTTATAATTTGGTGATCATTTTGAATATAAACATCATATATTTTGCTTTAAACTTACAATTTTTAGATAAAAATTTTTCTCTAGGTAACTATGGTATCTTTTGTGCAAAATATATGACATTTATATTCAAAATATTCCTGGTCTTACAAGGAATCCAGCAATGTCAATTATATTATCCTAACTTTAGTTTGAGGTATTATTTATTAAAATTTAGTGGTTATCCCACACATCTCCTTGGGACGGTTGGTGGGGGGTGGGGGGGAGGGAGGGACCGACCGACCATCTGTTACCCTGTGAAGAATTATTATTTTTTTTTATTAACTGAAGATATTTTTTTTAGCTCATAAAATTCATACAAATTACCCGGTCAGAATATAATTTACATTGCTGGAATTCTTATAATTTGGTGATCATTTTGAATATAAACATCATAGATTTTGCTTTAAACTTACAATTTTTAGATAAAAATTTTTCTCTAGGTAACTATGGTATCTTTTGTGCAAAATATATGACATTTATATTCAAAATATTCCTGGTCTTACAAGGAATCCAGCAATGTCAATTATATTATCCTAACTTTAATCTGAGGTATTATTTAATACTAAATGTTAAAAACTCTGGAAGGGAGGATTGGTGGGGGGTGGGGGGGAGGGTTGGGACTGACCGCGCGGTTGGAAGAGGGGGGGAGGCAAGGTGGGGTACTTTGATTGACAGATAGTGTCGTGAAGATTATTTTTTTTTTATTAACTGAAGATATTTGTTTTAGCTCATAAGATTCATACAAATTACCCGGTCAGAATATAATTTACATTGCTGGAATTCTTATAATTTGGTGATCATTTTGAATATAAACATCATATATTTTGCTTTAAACTTACAATTTTTAGATAAAAATTTTTCTCTAGGTAACTATGTTATCTTTTGTGCAAAATATATGACATTTATATTCAAAATATTCCTGGTCTTACAAGGAATCCAGCAATGTCAATTATATTTTCCTAACTTTAGTTTGAGGTTATCCCACACATCTCCTTGGGACGGTTGGTGGGGGGTGGGGGGGGAGGGAGGGACCGACCATCTGTTAGCCGGCTGTGTAGTGTGAGAGGGGGAGGGAGTTGAGTCCATTATTTGAATGGACATTAACTTGGCGACTGTATTTCTCTATTTCTCTTAAGTATTAATTGTGTGCATGTACCATCATAAAATTAAGATGTTATTTTTACTACAACATAGGTATGTGCCTTCAAAAAGTGGAGTTTGGGGGTCGGGCCGGTTTCTATTGGAATTAATCCCATATGTTCTGTTGTTCACTTAACGCGGATTTCACTTAACGCGGGACCCTCTGGGTTCAATTGACCGCGTTAAGTGGGGTACAACTGTATTGAAAGTACGTAGTTAAAATGAGTGATAAGATTCGCTGAAATCTGGATAGTACAGGTCCACCACCGATTTTCCAGCACCCTTGGTTCCTAAGCCTTGCCGGATTATCCGTTTTGCCGGACCAACCGAGGTCAGGTAATAATAATTCAACAATACACCTCTGACCCACTAATTATACACCTCCTGTGAAATTGCAATTGAAACCTCTGATATTTAAGTGAACAAATGAATGCTTAGTGAGGATTTGACACTAGACTTATATTACAATGTGTATCAAATGAGAAGTTCACAAGTGAATGTTGGTGAATTTAAAAAGTAGAGAAATATTGAGTGTGTGTGTATATTTAATGATAAATTATCAGTACATATAGTCAGTTCTGCTACAACGCGATAGTTGTGTTCTTGTAAAACCTCGCGTTGTAGAAATTCGCACAATAGAAATAACAGGGCTTATGGAGAAAATAGGGTTCGGTGCAGATTATTCGAAATCGAAAAAATTTAGTAGTTAGCCTAACACAAAGGATAGCACAATCTAAATAAATGTTACATTCATATCTAATAATGAAATCATATAGTAATTGTAACACTTTACCTTGAAAAAATATAAATATAACTTGATGGGGGAGAAGGGTGATTTTGAGGTTGATAACATCAAGCTTCTCTTAGAGTGTTATAGCCTTTCTTTTACGATCATCACCGGGAATGCGATCACCAGAACGCTTCTTGAAGATATTCTTCTTTTCCATATTCAGTTAATACCACAAAATTGGAGAAATAGTAAGCAAAAATCACTGAGGACGCTTCAAAACAACCTATGTTTCAACTGATCGTGTGGTGGAAACAGAGAGCGCGGGTGTAAAACGCTATTAGTCCACACTGAGAAACATTATTTTTATTCATTTTTTTCATACAGTATTTATGGGAACAGCTAAATTTGCAAAAAAAGGATGAAATTTATAGGGTCCCTATCAAATAACACTTCACAAACAAATCACAAGAATCAATTGAACATGTGATGTCGAACGTGAACTGTAAACACTGCATAACCCCGCGCCAAGCGACAGTACACTTAAAACGTTCGAGTGGAATCGCTTTACAGCCAACATGCGTTCACGTTTTACAAATATCTTTCTTCCACTCATCAATCGCGTTATAGCCAATTCACGTTGACAAAACACGAGTTGTAGCAGAAATGACTGTACATGTAGAATGTTTGTTATTATTTTTGCATATTAATGAAAATTAGATTAAGATTCTATCTCGTGCATTTGTGATGAAACTGAAATTTCATAAATATTCTTTGTAATTGATTTTCATGTTAAATAGTTTTTCTTAATAATTATGTATACAGTATGTGTATTTAAATTTAGTATTCTTGTAATCACATCTTTAATGACAAGGAATTTCTTAAATTGTTAAACTCTTTGTTCTTTGAGTTTAAAAAAGGTAACTAAAAATTTAACACTTTGTTTTGCTGGTGCTACTTAAAACATACCAATTCTCTACCACTTAAATCATTACCTGCATTACCTTGTCTAAATAACAAAGAATAAAATAGTATACCATACTCAAGTTATCTGATAAAATATAAGTTACTATACTGGTGACACCAGTTTATGTCACTACAGTACACTGGTGGCATATACCAGTTTATGTCACTACAGTACACTGGTGGCATATACCAGTTTATGTCACTACAGTACACTGGTGGCATATACCAGTTTATGTCACTACAGTACACTGGTGGCATATACCAGTTTATGTCACTACAGTACACTGGTGGCATATACCAGTTTATGTCACTACAGTACACTGGTGGCATATACCAGTTTATGTCACTACAGTACACTGGTGGCATATACCAGTTTATGTCACTACAGTACACTGGTGGCATATACCAGTTTATGTCACTACAGTACACTGGTGGCATATACCAGTTTATGTCACTACAGTACACTGGTGGCATATACCAGTTTATGTCACTACAGTACACTGGTGGCATATACCAGTTTATGTCACTACAGTACACTGGTGGCATATACCAGTTTATGCCAAAATACAATGATAACAACAGTGGGATATTATAACTCTCGCTGTACCATCAATACATCTTTCAATTACCTGCTCTCCGTTAATAATGGTGACGGAGTGACACGTGGCCATAGCGTAGAGCAGATGGTCGTGAGGAAGATTGGATGGTGACATTATCATGCTCAGCTCCAGTTGTTTACTCAGTGACTGAGACACAGCAACCACTCCTTTCATGTCCAGCCCATCCTCAGTCAGTGTGCCAGTCTAATGTAATACAGAAATATAATTACTTCTCCAATCTATCTATTTATCTACTTATGTATCTACTTATCCATCCATCTATCTATCTATCTTTTTATCTATTTACCTATCCTTTTATCTATCTATCTACTTATGTATCTACTTACCTATCTATCTATCTATATACTTATGTAGGTAGTAGGCAGTTATCAAACAGGGAGGTACTACCACCTGGGAAGATATTGGAAGCATAATGTACTGTGTTGTCTAATGGTAGACCCTGCTGCCATATGGCATCACGAAAATTGTGACCAAGTCCCAGGTTGTTGATCTGACTTTCTGCCTCATTTACACACAATTGCTGGGTCTCAATGTTTCTCTTACCTTAACACAACATACATCATATCGTTTCTCGCTATTGATCTTTGTTCTTTTTCTTTTTTATTTATGAGCCTTTATTATTATTATTATTATTATTATTATTACTATTACATTGTTATTTAATAATAATAATAATAATAATAATAATAATAATAATAATAATAATAATAATAATAATAATAATATTATTATTATTATACCTTTGCCCCCCAGGCCCTGATGTGGGTCATTGACCTGTGCCTGGATGGGCACAGGAAAAAAAAAAAAATAAATAAATAAATAAATAAATAAAAAAAAAAAATAAAAAAATAAAAATAAATAAACCTACTTTATCTATCCTCCATTTTTTCAATATAATGTACTGTCCATATTCTTTTTTTTTGTTAATTCTTTATATCTTAATCTACCTACCTCTTATATTATCTTTCAAATGGGGAATAATTAACTAAATCATAAATTAGCTCCTTGGCACTATTTTCTACTTTTCTCAATCTTTTCTCCTTTATTGTATCCACCAAACTGAAATGCATACATGACATAGACATTCTGATTACACCTAGTCTACAACAACAAACTGCAAGGTCACATTAAGTGGATTATTTTGTTTACCTTATCAAAACATATGCAGTTGAGAACTCCTGATATGTTGATGGAGCGAGGTGATATGCAGAAAATTTTGTGTTTCTTCAGCCTCTGGAGAGCATACAAGATTCCAACCTGGCGAGGAATATGTCGATACTCATATATTACTGCGTCAAGATAACCCCCAACTTCCTAGGATCCCCCATACACCCCCTCTCCCTCATTGATGCACCCAATCCCAGCTCTGTTCTTTAATGTTTCCATTAACAAATTAAAAAATCAATCACTGTATCAACAAATAACTGAACCTTTGAACAATAAAATCAAACTTGATGATGAAAACGAATATTCCTGTCATCAAATATCATTTACAGTGGATTTTGTTGGTAAATATACACTGTATTCATCTATGCACTTTAAATGTTTTTTCTCCAAAAATAAAGACCAAAATGCAAAAAATTCTTTATAAAATGTATCAGTATAGGAGTAAAATTCTTTATAAAATGTATCAGTATATGAGTAAAATTCTTTATAAAATGTATCAGTATAGGAGTAAAATTCTTTATAAAATGTATCAGTATAGGAGTAAAATTCTTTATAAAATGTATCAGTATATGAGTAAAATTCTTTATAAAATGTATCAGTATATGAGTAAAATTCTTTATAAAATGTATCAGTATATGAGTAAAATTCTTTATAAAATGTATCAGTATAGGAGTAAAATTCTTTATAAAATGTATCAGTATAGGAGTAAAATTCTTTATAAAATGTATCAGTATAGGAGTAAAATTCTTTATAAAATGTATCAGTATAGGAGTAAAATTCTTTATAAAATGTATCAGTATAGGAGTAAAATTCTTTATAAAATGTATCAGTATAGGAGTAAAATTCTTTATAAAATGTATCCCAGTATAGGAGTAAAATTCTTTATAAATATCAGTATAGGGTAAATTCTTTATAAAATGTATCAGTATATGAGTAAAATTCTTTATAAAAAATGTATCAGTATATGAAATGCATCTTTATAAAAAATGTATCAGTATAGGGTAAAAATTCTTTATAAAATATCTCTAATTATGGAGTAAATTCTTTATAAAATGTATCAGTATATGGTAAAAATTCTTTATAAAATGTATCCAGTATAGGAGTAAAATTCTTTATAAAAAATGTATCAGTATAGGAGTAAAATTTTTATAAAAATGTGTCATTATATGAAGTAAAATTCTTTATAAAATGTATCAATATATGAAGTAAAATTCTTTATAAAATGTATCAGTATAGGAGTAAAAAATATCTTTATAAAATGTATCAGAGTAAAATTCTTTATAAAATGTATCAGTATAGGAGTAAAATTCTTTATAAAATGTATCAGTATAGAGTAAAATTCTTTATAAAATGTATCAGTATAGGAGTAAAATTCTTTATAAAATGTATCAGTATAGGAGTAAAATTCTTTATAAAATGTATCAGTATAGGAGTAAAATTCTTTATAAAATGTATCAGTATAGGAGTAAAATTCTTTATAAAATGTATCAGTATAGGAGTAAAATTCTTTATAAAATGTATCAGTATATGAGTAAAATTCTTTATAAAATGTATCAGTATATGAGTAAAATTCTTTATAAAATGTATCAGTATATGAGTAAAATTCTTTATTACTTTAAAAACTGTACAAGGGTGCAGACAATCTCAACCACTGTAAAAGTGTCTCACCCAAGCATCCACTGACCTCCCCCCTACTTCTTCCACCCAGCCAAGTTTTCAGTTCAAGTTTAAACTTTAGGTAATACCTGTATCTAGTGTCTAGTTGAGGGTCATGGAGGTATTGGGGATTGGAATTTGAACATTACTAATTAGGTTTTTAATTGAACTACTGTATAATGTTTTTCTTGTTGTGAATATGACATAAATCATAATGGAAAAACAGCTATAAACCAGTCAAATTTATGAACCACAGTAGATGTTAGGTACTGCCACATGTCCAGGTACAGAGCAGTATATCACATGCAAGTAAGAGTTATAACCCTTCAGAGAGAACAATTAAAATATGATACAGAGTAACAGAATCCTGACCAATGATCATGAATGGCATGTGTAATACAGTAAAGCCTCGAATAATGACGGTAATGTGTCCTCCAATATTGCAGTGTAAGGTGAATCATCATATCGTGAATCATTAATTAACATCAAAATAAAGCTTTAATAATGAGATGTGTTCCCAAGTGTGACCTTTTCATATCTTTTGTGTGACTTTTTACCCTCTTTTCCCTCCAAACAATAAAATTAATGAAAAATGCAAACTATATTCTTTAAATAATGTTTATGAATGGTCCTAACACAATATAAATCACACTAAGATCACACAAGAGGAGATGGGATGGCATTGCTGTTGTCAGTGTTTACAGCCATAATGTCAGTTATCCACCTGAAACTGAAGAAAATAAGACCCTGGTTGTTGTTGTAGTAAAATTAATGGAAATATACAGTATATGTATGTTTTAATTAATGTTATTTAATGTACAGTAAAAGTAACCACTGATGTTGAAGAAAAAAGTGAGACTGATAGTGGAACGCCAACATATACGTGCACACTCAAGGAAACATAGCGTCATTTATCTTATTAAGAATATGTACAAAAGATTTATTATCGTTTCTTACCGAATATGTCGTCAAATTAATGTAAAAAATGGAATATACATGTTTTAAGTAATGATATTTAATGTTAATAAATGGAACGATAGAAGTAGCTAACCATTAATGGTAAAGAAAAAACGAAATGGATTGGGAATGCTAATGTATGTAAGTGCATACATGTGAAAACATATCGTCATTTCTCTACATAAGAATATGAAAGCAACACTTATTACTGTTCATATATGTTTTAAATAATACTTACGAATGTAAAATCCAAATTCTACTCACCAATGGTGGTAAAGTCTAAAACATAAGGACAGCCAATGAATGTTATGCGACTTTTTACTCAGATGACGAAGTCATCAGATTCAACTCTGGCTGAAGCTGTAGCTTTCCATAAAGATGTCATAGCTGTTGCTGAAACTGTTACATAACTTGCAGTTGTTGCTGAAGCTGGATATGATGCTGAATTTGATGGTGTAGCTGAAGTTGATGGTTTAGGCCTTTTAATAATAAAGCTGTCGAAAGAACCTTGCACAGCTGCTTTCTTTTCTCATTATACATCTTTATGTAGAGGTCATTTGCATTTTTCATTTCCCTGTTAATTTTAATGTTTCATTCTGTTTATGGATACTCTTCAGAAAATATGTTCATTGCTTGCTCCATATATATATCCACAGACCTCTCACCCTTTTCATATCATTTTAACAGATCTATTTTCTCAGCTAAGCTTATACACTTTCTTTTAGCTTTTGAACCAGCACTTCCATAACTTGCTCTCTTGCTCATGTTGAATAGGGACGCAAAAATGCCGTAAGAAACCTGAGAAAGTTTTTCTCCTTTTCCTGTTCAGATGCGGGAAAACAAAAGGCCCGCCAAGCTGCGACTGTTTATACTAGTGATGCTGGTGTCACCACTCACAGGCCCGGCAACCTCTGTGCACAAGGCGTGTTTTTTTTTATTTGTAAAATACATATCGGGATTTAGTTATTATTTACAGTACTGTATATGAAAATGTAATTTTATTTAACTTTTTAATCTATTTTTGTCGTAAATACAAAGAAAATAATGGTGTACATTGAATTGTGGTCCTAAATTAACCAGGGTCTTAAATATGAATTGTCATTAGTAGAACCATCGTTATCGGAGGCTTTCATGTATTTATTTCATAGTTCTAATATTTTTTGGACTAAAGATATAATTAATATTCTAAGTCTAAATATCATAAAGCAGTGTTTGTAGCACCTTACCGTCATGGCCATGGGCAGTGCTGGGGGGATGACGATGGTGATCAGATCCAGTGAGTCCAGAGCTATTACAGAAGCTGTCAGCCCTCGTATATACTGTCATAGAAAAAATATAAAGTATTACAGTCAGGTGATAATGTATTACAGTTTGTGATGAAATCTGAATGTTGTGGTAATCCTACAAGAGCATAATGAGAAAATCCTCCACATTATGATTAAAAATTGGCCTTACATTAAGTGAAGAATTAGCTATCACTTTATCTAAACTTCTTAGAAATAAATAAAAGATAATATTATTGGACAAAGGGGGGCTATAGGTAGGAGAATCAATCGTGGTGAAGTTTTCCTCCGAGATTATTATATGGTATTGACCATTAGGGTTAAGACCGAGATAAGAAAGGCCAAAAAGGAATAATGAACTGAAAGTAGTAACGGGGTTGAAGTCAAAACCCTAAAGGATTTTTCCAAAGTATCAAACTAAAACAAGAGACAAGATTAGACCAATTCAGTCAGATACCGGCGAACTAACTAATAACAACGGAGAAATGAGCAATAATCTGAACAGATATTTATCATTAGTTTTCACAAATTAAACTTAAACATGATATCCGAGGTACCAACTATCTACAGAGTTAGTGAAGAAAATAGATTAAGGGATAGTGACTACGTAGTAACGATGTTAGTAAACAAATAGATAGACTAAAACCTAATAAGTTGCCAGGTCCAGATGAGATATTTTCCAGAGTATTAAAAGAATGTAAGGAAGAACTTAGTATGCCCTTAGCAAACTTGTTTAACATGTCATTAAAAATGGGTGTAGTACCAAAATCCTGGAGGACAATGAATGTGATACCAATTTTCAAGAAGGGAGATAGATCATTATCCTCTAACTACCATCCAATTAGTTTAACACCATTGTAGGCAAATTACTGGAAGCAAAAATTTCAAACTCAATTTGAAATCACCTCAAGAAACGCAAATTGATCAATGATTTTCAGCATGGCTTTATAAGTGGGCATTCATGTCTGACAAATCCATTATAATTCTTTTCAGCTGTTTTCGAATCAGTGGATGAGACACAATTATGATGTGGTTTACCTCGAATTTAGCAAAGTCTTTGACAGGGTCCCTCATGAAAGACTAAAACGTAAAGTGGAAGCACATTGAATAGGAGGAGATATTCTAAACTGGATTAGGGCGTGGTTACAGGACAGGGAAAAGAGAGTCAGCATTAATGGCACTAAATCCAATTTGGGTAAAGTCACTAGTGGAGTACCCTAAGGCTCAGTACTTGGACCATCACCTGTATGCCCTATGATAGAATAAGTTTCATGGTGCAATCGCATGAAATAATGAAGGTATAAAGTGACGTATAAACATTTTCATTAAGCATAAGCAATTTTTTTTTTGTTCTATACACTATTACTTATAGAAATAATTATTTTTAATAATGATTACTGTACTCAAACACAACTATTTGTAGATAATTTCTTTACAATACTAATGCAACAAATCCCACCTTATCTCAAACAGCAAGCTTACTATGACTCATTATGTCCAATTATCTCTCATGTGGTGCAGTCTAGCACTGTGATGTGAGCGACAGGCCAGAACCCGGAGCGCCTGGCGGGAGAGCGCTTACCCAAACCCAAGACTGTTAATCCCTTCATACATTGCTCCCAAACAACTGAGAAAATGGCTGTTAATATTTTATTTGGCTAACATCAGACAATTTTATTCAGCTAAGAGGGGACACCATCAACAATAGTAATTTTCTTTTTTATCAATCAATGTCTTCCTCATCAATACACACAGTACACTCACAAACTCTTACCCACATTTTTCTTAATAAATAGAAGGTGCGGTAACATATTTATTTGCTTACAATTTTCATACAAACATTTTCTAAGACAGTAAGACAATGCACCTTACCTTGGTTATTACTGTGTAGATGAAGCCGACTGATGCAATGCCAGCAAGAACTCCAACAAATTTATAAGAGTCTTGTTGGAATTTAAAGTCCACAGGCGGAGGGTACATGATGGAGCGGACCAACGACCCCTTGCTGGTGAGGAAGCCGGTACGCACCACAACCGCCACGACACGCTCTCCTCCGTAAAACCGTGTCTGAATCACTTGAGTCCCACAGAATAGGGTGTGGCGGCTGTGCTCCTGCGAGAGACCACATAAAGTTTAAAATTTCAACAAAAAGGAATTCAAAAGCAAAAACAAAATCAAAAGCAATTTTGATTTTGTTCTGGAAGAAATGTTTATAAATATTACTTATTTCATGCTTTGGAAATTGATACTTAAGAAGCAATTAACCAATACAGTACAGTAATATCTCCATTAGTTGGAATCCCTCATAGCCAAAACTCACCAACAGCCAGAATTCAAATTTGTTCAGAATTTTTCCGGAAAATTTCTCTCAATTAACGGGTTTGTGAGCAATTTTCCAAGGTTGAAAATCAGGCGCATTTTCTGGAAAATTTGGAGAAAATTTCTAGAAATTCTCTCCAAATGTCTCCATTCTGAGCACGGGAATAAATTTTCATGGAGTTCCAAGATTGCATCATGCTCCCACGCATCTCCATAAGCCAGGTGCGTGGGTGGCCCAGCTGCTCAGCTTGCTTAGTTCATATTCTGCTGCCACTGTAGAAGGTTGTTCCCTCATTAGCTGCATACAATTTGTGTTATGCAGGTCTGTACATTTCCGTACCAGAACAAAATCAGCCAAGAATACAGTGTTAAAGCAGTGTTAAGAACATAAAGAGTGATGCCAGTTAGGTGTATTATACTGTACAGGGGGTCCTCATTTTAAGTGTCTTCATTATACTGTAAGTGGTTTCACACTTAAGTGGTCAAATAATTGCGGACCTCCACATAAAAAGTCCCAACACTTACGAGGATTCTAAGGCCAAAATCCTTCTCACCCAAGATATGCAGGCTCGGTATCAGTCGCCTGTGTCCACAGGCATTATGCTGAAGTGCTTCAAGAACTATAATTATCAACTTTGTTGTGTCTTTGGTGACGTTGGAGGACTATTTTTGCAGCCATCAGTTCCAAAACGAAGCAAGGTGGTGTAGTGAGCGTAGCTATGTGATGGATGTGAAATTAGAAGTTACATGCGAATGCATGGTTAGGTAACTTGCGCCACATCAACACACCGACCCCAAACTCACGGTAATCCAGAGGGAACCGCACAAAAAACTCCTGAAGTCATTGAAGCAGAAGAGAGAGGAGTCGATGAGCAACAGGGACGGACGTGCATGGGCGATATAAAAGGGGAGGGTAGTGGAGGCAAGTGCACCAGTACAGAGCCAGGGAACAGCAGGACTTTTACTTTCATCCTCTTCACCACTGATTGGCTTGTTAGCTGCTTGACCTATCAGTCACGTCTCTGTTACGCACTGCTGGCAAGTACTGGGCATGCACCGGCTCCTGAATATATCTGAACCTGCTCAAGTGCTTATCAAGTCTATTCTTAAAAGAGCTCACACACGGTGCCGTCACAACACTCTCTGGCAGATTGTTCCAAGAGTTCACAACTCTCACCCCAAAAAATTTACCCCTCACAGTTTTCTGGGCTTGAGGCTTCTTCAACATTGAGCTGTGACCCCTTGTGGGGCGAGCGTTTCCCAGCCCCAGGAAAGGGCACTCAACTGAGTAGTGCCCCTTCAGATGCTTATACACCTCAATTAGGTCTCCCTTTGCCCATCTGTAGTATAAGCTAGACAATTTCAGGCACTCTAATCTCTCAGGGTAGCTGAGGTGCCGCAGTGCAGGCACCAGTCTGGTGGCCCTCCTTTGGACATTTTCAAGCAACTGGCAGTCCCTAGCATATCTTGGGGATCAGACGGGGTGACAGTACTCCAAACGAGGGACGGACCGTTTAGATATCTGAACGACCTTCTTATAAGACCTAATAATTTAGTTGCCTGATTTACCTTCTTCTCGCAATGGCCCGAGAACTTCAGCTCATTGTCAACATACACACCTAGGTCCTTCTCACATTCAGTCTCAAATAGTGCAGTTTCTTCATCCCGTTGGGACATATGGTACGCCTCCTTACCGTTGGTACGTCCCAGGTGCATCCTCTTACACTTAGTGACATTGAATCTTAACAGCCACTTCTAAGACCATTCTTGAAGCTCACAGAGATCCTTCTGCAGTTCTTCACAGTCGGCTTGGATCTTAATTTCCAGAAATAACTTGACGTTATCCACAAACATTTGTATGGAGGAGTGTACAGCTTCAGGAATGTCATTTATGAAGCAAACAAACAACAGTGGTCCCAATACACTGCCCTGTGGTACCACGCTTGTGACAGGTACCACTCACACACACACACACACACACACAGCCTTCATAGGGTAAGGACGTGTGTAGTCGGCGCTGCCCGCTAACACGGCCGTGGTCTATTGACCAAGGAGACAGCTGCCAGCCTGGTCTGTCGGGCCCTCCCCTCCCCCATCTCCTGCCCATCTGGATTTATCAACATCCTCCCACCAACAGTACAGTGCAAAGACTGACGCTCAACCCACAAGTGATATACAAAAGTGGCAATTTCAACTCGAAGAAAAGCACAAAAACACAGCAATACTGAGTGTGGCTGGATCTGACCTAACCTGACCTGACCTCATGGCTTCACCTGACCTAACCTGAAGGATGGAACACACCTGCATTGCCCCAAGCTTCTGCCCTGGCCACGTGGCCACACACCTGCCCAACCGCATCCAGCCCACACAAGCATGAACTGATTGCTATAAGAACAGCCTGTTTCCAACCATTGTAAAAATTATGAACACGTAATTATTATATATCATATTTATCACTTATGTTACTTGTACATCATTTGTAAATCAAGAGACCCATTCCCCAATTATATAATTGTATATTTTCAGCCTTCTGGCTGCCACACTTTTTCAATAAACAGTTAATTATTATTATTATTATTAGATGATGATTTTGTGCCATTAATCACCACACACTGCTTGCGGTTATAGAAAACATCTACGATCCATGCTAGGACATTTCCCCAAATCAAATAACTTTTCAGCCTTTCATGGGGTACACTGTCGAAGGCTTTGGCAAAATCTAGGTAAATATTGTCGATATTACCACCCTGTTCCAGAATTTAGGTCCTAATATCCAGTACCTTGAGTAATTGTGTTAAGCAGGAGCACCCCGGCATAACACCGTGTTGACAATCCTTTACAAGGTTGTTTCGTAGTAGATGTTCCATCATGGCATCTCTTATAATGCTCTCAAGTACTTTCCATGCTATGCTGGTTGGGCTTTCTTGTCTATAGTTATTCGTGGAGTGACGACCGCCCTTCTTAAAGATAAGACTCACTCAAGCCACTTTCCAATGACTGGGGACCTTTTGCTCGTCCAGGCATTTACAGAACAGGATCTTCAGGGGCTCGGCAAGCTCATTGCACAACTCTCTTAGCACTCTAGGATGCACCATGTCAGGGCCGGGACACTTATGGACCATTACCTTTGACAGTTTATTTCTTATAACCTCTTCTGTGAACACAATGTGGGTCAAAGCTGTGTCAAACAGTCTGTCCTCAAACACAGGAAGATTAATTGCATCCTCACGTGTGAACACCGAGGAAAAGAAGCTTTTCAATGCCTCAGCTTTGTCCTGGTCGGAATCTGCATAACTACCATCTTCAAGCCTCAGGTCCAATACTCCTACTCACATTTTTAATTTCGACTTTGCATAGTGGTAAAACGTCTTTAGGTTTGACTTGACCTCGCTTGCATCCAGCCTCTGGGATTCCTTTTCAGACCTTCTACACTCAGACTTTGCTTGGTTTCTGGCTCTTGCACACATCCTCCTGTCCTGCTCATCGTTTGATCCAATGCACGTCTTGAACTTCTGGGTTTTCTTCTTAACTTTGTCGACCGCCGCATGGTTCATGTGTAGGGGTCTCCTTGTATTCCTAGAATAGGTTTGGTCTTGGGTATATATTTACTGTATCAATCAAATGGTTCACTTTACTAGCTAATGTTTTCAGCGTAGTGTCTGCGTTCTTATGCCTTCGTGAGTCAGGCCAGTGGATACCCCTCATCCCTTCGTAATTTCCCTTGTAATATTTGCACGTTGGCCTGGTTTTGTTGTGAACTGAGTAACAGTTAAATCTGAAGGACAACATTACACGGTGGCTGGTGCCAACTGGGACTAGATGTTCCAGTTTGGTCACCATACCCTCCTCGTTTGTTATGATGATGTCCAGTGGCTTGGGTGTTTGCTCCCCTCTGTAATGTGTCGGGTCTTTAACATTTTGGAACAGAAAATTATCTCTCAGAGTTTCTACAAAAAGAGTAGCGAGGTTATTTTAGTCATTTGGTGTGAATTCGTTTCTCCAGTCTATGTCGCCATAGTTAAAGTCCCCCATGATAAGGAGGTGGCTAGGGTTGAGCATCACTGCATTGTCTATTAAGGCTCTTAAGTTCCTTTGGTTTTGTAAGCTACAGTTTGGGGATCTGTAGACACACCCAACAATACGTAAGTCTTCTTCCTTTAACTTAATTTTACACCACTTAGATTCTTCAAAAATATCCTCTCCTTGTACCCTTGCCTGGCTGGCTCTAAGGTCTTGCCTAGCATACAACACACCCCTCTTGCAAGTTTCTTGAGAAAGGATCGCAAATGAGTCATATCCAGCAATACTGAACTCACATTCCTCTGGGTCGATTATCCTGTTCTTTACAACAGTTCTATAACTCCTACAATATCGGGTTGGTGTACCTTCAGTAGTGTTTCGAACTCCTCTCTCTTATCAAAAAACGTGTCGGTATTAGTGTACATGACACTCAAGCCAGAATTTGTTCTTGGTAACATCTCTGCTCTTAGTAGTAACTTCGGCCCCCCTTCAATCTTAGCAGCTGCAGCATTTGCTAAATACACTGTATTTTGATGGGTGTGGTTAGAAATGTAATTGTTTACACAGCGTTAGCCTCCTCCTAGGTGGGAGGTAGAGAGGGTGGAGGGTGTACCACTGCCTCCTGGCTCTGTGCTGGCGCTCTCGCCCCCCCCCCCCGGATATAACCCATGCACACCCGTCCCCGTTCCTACTCAACTCCTCCCTCCTCTGCTTCAAGCCCTACAAGTGCTTTTTTGCTGTTCCCTCTGCATTAATGTGTGATCTAGGTGAATGAATACATTCCAAAATGCCTCGCTCCAGGATAAGTTTTTTGCCTGCCGAATAACTTCTCATTTCTTCTCCTCACTCACTAGTGTGACCCTGAGGGGGCGAGGCTTGTCCTCCTGCTTTTGTCCCAGCCTCATCACATCCTGGGGGTGGGGGCATATTCAGAGCCTCTGTACAAATATTCTCAAACTGTTATCATGTGTTTTCCTACTCTCAGCTTCCTCCGGCTGGCTCTCAGGAGCTCCATAAACTATTACATTGTTCCTATGCTCAAAACGTTCCCGTTGCTCCTCCTCTCCCCTAACAGTAGGTCCGTTAATTTTCATTTCTTCGACACACTTCTTCAGAGTCCCTAGGTGCTGTAGAACTTGTTCGGATCCTGGTTTACTCTCCGCCACCTATGGGCTACTTCCTCAGTCTTAGCAATGATCTCTTTCCCAACTTGTTCTAGTTTGGCAACCAGGAAGGATCCAGCTTCATCTGTTTAAGTCCCTAGGAAACTCATTCCCTTATGGCTTGCAATCGCCTCTTTCACCTTGACTATGTAGTCAGGGCAATACCAGCAACAGCCTTCATGCCGTACCACATTCTGTAACGTTCTAAACGTTGCACTTCTCAGGCCCGCACAATCTATATCTGTCGTCGCCCTGCAGTAATTGCTTGTCAACAGACTTCCTGGTGCTGCTTCAGTCCCTGGATTCCATGTATTCATGATTGTTGCTGTTGGGGGGAGACTCTGTACGGATCTACTTAGCCTTAAGCCCACCAGTTTACCATGTGATGAACTTGTAATCGTCGGCTTACTTGTGACAATAATATTGATCTTTATTCTTACTATGATAATTGCTTTTAATCTCTGTCTTGGTAGCAGGGCTTTAGTATCAAGGTCCCTTTAAATGCCCCACAGGCTCGCTGCCTGGGTATAGGCCGCTATGAATAGTGCCATCCACAGGGTTAGTACACTTTATTTCTTCTGACCAAGAAATTTACCCCTCATTGGGAGGACTTTCTTTATACTCACTTCTACTAACTGAAGTCTCAGTGAAGTGAGATGAGGGAGTGATCATGCCCTTGTGGCAAACCAATGTTATTTAAAAAGAAGAAGAAAATAACTAAGCTGCCTTCTGCTGGTCTTAATCTCATGCGTCCAGTGTTTCCTCCCAACACAGTTTGAGTTGTCTTCTGTTTGTTTGCACTATCCCTATGTACACTGTACCTTGCTATGAATGCTGGATCACATGCCAACTCAGTCCTTTAGAAACAGAAAAAAAAATTTCTTTGGGGCAGCAATAAAATGTCGTTCTAGATAGCCCGACTTGTTTCTTTTTTTATTTTTAACTATTATTTTCTTATGTTCTCTTATCCAGCTCTCATCTACAAATACATGTCTAGGAGCTATCTCTGTGTACACTGTATCTCCCTATGAATTGTGGATTGTAGGCACAATTTCAGTCCTTGAGAAAGCACATCACACACAAAAGAAAAAGAAATTCTTTGTGGTACCAGTAATATGACTTAGTTACTGCCGGTAGTAGTGCCTTAATTGCTTGCCCCAATTTTTTCTTCACTTCAGATTATTTACAACCTCCACTGATGTCACAATGAACTGACTTCTAAAGGCACAATACTACACTCTTTGGTTGGCCTTTGGATGGTCAATCACAGCCATGAACACAACTCAAAAAATTAAATAAAATAAAATAAAAAATCCAGATAAATCTTGTCATATGGCAATGATTTTGTGGTACACAAAATCATTAGGAATTTCTCAATCTTCTGCAATTTTTAACCCTTTCAATCTGGGGATGCCACTTTTAATATTTTATTCAGGACAGAGGGGACCCCATACACAAGGGATTAAATATCTCCCATTAATTGTTCCTTACTAAAACTGAGAAACATGGTCAAAGAAACAGCAAAGAAATTCTTAAGCATTTCAAAGCCAAACAATATAACCCAAACTAACCTTTTCATTGTATACAACATCTGAGCGATCAACAATAGATGTTTTAGTCACTGGAACAGACTCTCCTGTTAGCATAGACTCATTAACAATGCAGTTTCCCTGTAGTAGAACTGCATCACACTGCATCATGCATCCTTGAGGTGGAATCACCACCACATCACCAGGAACAAGATGATCTGAAGGGATAGTCTCCACCTGGTCAGCATCTCGTACCACCTGAGGATAGGAAAAACATTTGTTGTCATCTTCACTTTAGTTACACATCATCATCATCTACTACTACTACTACTACTACTACTGTACTATCAAATGCCCAGCTTTTTCCCTTTTATAATCAATAATTTTCATTTTCAACAAATATTTTCCTGATGAACAAAGCATTCCTCACATAGACTTTCCTGAACACACCCAATGATCTTTTATACACACAATGACCTAAAAAAATAGTCTTTATATACAAGGTAGAATAAAAAAGTTCCCAGAATTGCAAAGTCATGTGCAAACCTGCGTGAACATTAATAAAAGGGGAGTAGAGAGCAGAAGTGTTTCGTGTCTGGTCTGTAGAAACAGCACCAACATTCTGAGAATGTATCAGTGTAACAAAGTAGTCGGTTGAGTGTAGGTGTTCGGTGAACACTCCTCAAGATGTCACAGTTTGAATAGTGTACTAACATCATATTCATGTGAAGACCAGGGAAAACAGTGGTGGAAACCCATCACAAATTTGTGCCTATGGGTCAAGGCATGAATGCAGAGTTCTACATGCAAATGCTAAGTTATTTACGGGAAACGATTTGGCAAAAAACAACCAGAAAAGTAATGAATGAACAGGTGGCTCCTGCATCATGATCATGCACCAAGTCACACCTCCCAAGTGGTGCAGCAGTTCTTGGCTGAGGAGATGCCTGTCAAAAACTACCAACCATATTCACCAGATCTCACTCCGTGCAACTTCTGGCTGTTTCCGAGACTGAAAACACGGCTCAAGGGGAAGCGTTTTATCTAGGTGGATGACATTAATGCTCATAGGATGTCCAGTTTACAATCCATACCAAAAGAGGACTTTTCGACGAGCTTCAGACAGTGGCAAAACCACTGGAATACGTATGTGCGGATGGGAAATATTTTGAGGGTGATAAGGTTAGACTTTTTTAATTGATATTGAATAAATGATACAGCTACTGTACATTCCAGGAACTTTTTGCTCTGCCTCGTAGTCCAAACATGTAGCTATATCACTGTCTCTATGACATTTTATTAGGCAGCTACAGGAGCAGAAATGACAAAGAAATACTGGGGTGCTCCTAGGTCATATCACTCTTAAGCACCTTAGTGGAAATAAGTATTAATTGGGTCTCTTGGACTGATATTGGCAGAATAGATTTACTCTTCATGACTGCACTGTCTATGTAGATGCAAAAACAATATGAAACTTGTAAGATTATTTCACTAAATAAATATTTGGTATCACCCAGAAACATTAACATCTCCTAAAAATTAAAAATTAAAAACAAATATTTAAACAGTCATCCATGAGCCACATTGCCCCAAAACAACAGAGCAACTTTATACACTGTACCAATATATGAATGTACAAAATGTGAAGAAAACTAGGTGAATGATTGTGGACATAACACAAAATACTGTACCATTCAGAGAAAAAACTCCCAACAGCAGAGAACAAAGTTTCCAAAGCCAACAGAAGGGACCACATCATCCCATTTCAAGAGGGTACACTGCAGTTTACCAATGTATAGTGGTATGTGTTCCAAGTTCAAAAAAATTACTTCTGTCATTCTTGAAATATCATCAGAAAAGGAAAAGTGTATCCTAAGGGGGAATATAGTACCAAATAAACAACAAACACATAGGCCTACCTGCACATTATCTGCCGACTGTATTGTGCTGCTCAGAACCATTTGATTACGATGCATTTGGTACACCTCAGATATAAGTGATACCACAGACGTCACCACAATAACTGTAGCATACCACATGTAGTCATCTGAGTACCACAGACACACAGAGAACAGCTGCAAGAAAGGACAAAATGTTATTCAGTCCAGAAATTAATGATCACATATATTGGACTATCTAACCATTCACTTATTAATCTATCTATTCATCAATCAACTTATTATTAGTGTACAGCATGCCCTGACAATTCAGTGACAATTCACAGATTTTGAATTCGCAGTCCACAATTATTCGTGGATGACACCCTGGATGTACCCAAGAATGTCTGCGGGTAGATTTAAAGTTGCCGGCATTTTTGTGGCAGGGACAGGGAGCCATCCGTTCAAGAAACAGTATAGTCTCGATTTACGCAGATTTCCTTTACGCGTTTGGTCATTTACGCGGCACCTGGCCAGACCGGCAATTATTAGTTACGCGGTACATTCCATCATTTACGCGGGAAGCGGCGCAGGCAGGGTGCGCACTAGGTCGCCCAGTCAACAAAACATTACCGAGTTCTTCACCCGCCACCCACCACAGCCAGCCCAAGTCAGTGATAGTGAGGATATGGACTTTGAGGGGTTTGACAACGAGGCCCTGCAAGCCTCTGTGGTGGATAGTGATACAGGTGATACAAGTGATACAGGTGAGGGCCAATAATCTGCCCTCTGCCTCGGAACCAACCCCCCCATCCCCGTGTGCTCAGCCATCTCTTCTACTAACGTAAGTGTTAAAAAACCTAATATTATTGATATTTCTCTTAAATATTAATTGTATGTGCATACCATCATAAAATTAAGATGTTGTTTTTACTACAACGTACGTATTGTGTCGGTAAAAGGGTAGTCTTGGGGTCGGCCCAGTCTCTATTTCAATTAATCCCATATGTTCTGTTATTTCGTTTACGCGCTTCTCGTTTTACGTGGACCTCCACGGGTTTAATTGACCGCCTAAACCGAGACTATATTGTATATATACACATATATACAATACAGGTTAAATAAATACTTGTCCTTAGGGTAAACACATAAAGGGAATATACATTTCTTTGCACACGAGTAAAAATATACCCCCCCCCCCCGGGTCAGCAAATGATATCCGTGGATTTGGCTATTCACGACCCTTGTGAGACCCAAACTCCAGTGAATTTTAAGAGCAAGCTGTATATTATTTCTCCCACGATCAAAGCAACAGAGAAGATAACAGTTTTCTCGAAAAGCTTAGTACACAAACCACTTCCAGCTCCTCAGATTGCCACAGCTACCTGTACTGTATCTGTACAGTATTACCCCGCCTAACGCGGTTTCACTTAACGCGTTTTTTCATATACAGTATTACCCCGCCTAACGCGGTTTCACTTAACGCGTTTTTTCATATACGCGGTGCCTCGCCAGAGCTGAACTTTCACTTAACACGGATTTTTTCCACATATACGCGGTGAGTGTCCGGCTCGAGACGCTATTTTTAGATTTGCCCCACCCGCCACCCTGCCTGACTGCCTGTTTTAGCTCATAAAATTTATACAAATTACCCGGCCAGAATATAATTTACATTGCTGGAATTCTTATAATTTGGTGATCATTTTGAATGTAAACATCATATATTTTGCATTAGACATACAAATTTTAGATAAAATGTTTTCTCTAGTAAATATGTTATCTTTTGTGCAAAATATATGACATTTATATTCAAAATATTCCTGGTCTTACAAGGAATCCAGCAATGTCAATTATGTTATCCTAACTTTAATCTGAGGTATTATTTAATACAAAATGTTAAAATTTATTTTTTTCACCCACTCTTCTCTTGAAGGGAGGATTGGTGGGGGGTGGGGGGGAGGGTTGGGACTGACCGCGCGGTTGGAAGAGGGGGGGAGGCAAGGTGGGGTACTTTGATTGACAGATAGTGTCTGAAGAATATTTTTTTTTTTATTAACTGAAGATATTTGTTTTAGCTCATAAAATTCATACAAATTACCCGGCCAGAATATAATTTACATTGCTGGAATTCTTATAATTTGGTGATCATTTTGAATATAAACATCATATATTTTGCATTAGACATACAAATTTTAGATAAAATGTTTTCTCTAATAAATATGTTATCTTTTGTGCAAAATATATGACATTTATATTCAAAATATTCCTGGTCTTACAAAGAATCCAGCAATGTCAATTATATTATCCTAACTTTAGTTTGAGGTATTATTTATTACTAAAAAGTTAAATATTCTGGTTTCCCCACACATCTCCTTGGGACGGTTGGTGGGGGGTGGGGGGGAGGGAGGGACCGACCGACCATCTGTTACCCCGTGAAGAATCTTTTTTTTTTTATTAACTGAAGATATTTGTTTTAGCTCATAAAATTCATACAAATTACCCGGTCAGAATATAATTTACATTGCTGGAATTCTTATAATTTGGTGATCATTTTGAATATAAACATCATATATTTTGCATTAGACATACAAATTTTAGATAAAATGTTTTCTCTAGTAAATATGTTATCTTTTGTGCAAAATATATGACATTTATATTCAAAATATTCCTGGTCTTACAAGGAATCCAGCAATGTCAATTATATTATCCTAACTTTAATCTGAGGTATTATTTAATACAAAATGTTAAAATTTATTTTTTTCACCCACTCTTTCTCTTGAAGGGAGGATTGGTGGGGGGTGGGGGGGAGGGTTGGGACTGACCGCGCGGTTGGAAGAGGGGGGAGGCAAGGTGGGGTACTTTGATTGACAGATAGTGTCTGAAGAATATTTTTTTTTTATTAACTGAAGATATTTGTTTTAGCTCATAAAATTCATACAAATTACCCGGCCAGAATATAATTTACATTGCTGGAATTCTTATAATTTGGTGATCATTTTGAATATAAACATCATATATTTTGCATTAGACATACAAATTTTAGATAAAATGTTTTCTCTAGTAAATATGTTATCTTTTGTGCAAAATATATGACATTTATATTCAAAATATTCCTGGTCTTACAAGGAATCCAGCAATGTCAATTGTATTATCCTAACTTTAGTTTGAGGTATTATTTATTAAAATTTAGTGGTTTTCCCCCAAAATTTCTCAGAGGGGGAAGAGCCAGCAGTGTAGTGTGAGAAGAGGGGGAGGGAGTTGAGTCCATTATTTGAATGGACATTAACTTGGCGACTGTATTTCTCTATTTCTCTTAAGTATTAATTGTGTGCATGTACCATCATAAAATTAAGATGTTATTTTTACTACAACATAGTTATGTGTCTTCAAAAAGTGGAGTTTGGGGGTCGGGCTGGTTTCTATTGGAATTAATCCCATATGTTCTGTTGTTCACTTAACGCGGATTTCACTTAACGCGGGACCCTCTGGGTTCTATTGACCGCGTCAAGTGGGGTACAACTGTACTATGTAACAAAACTTAATAAATTCCTTTACAAAGTCTGTGTGACAATTTGACTTTTAATTAATGGAGCAGCAGTCAACGGGATCAAAAAGAGAAAAATAATGTGCTTGATAAACATAACTACACAACATGGAAATAAAAGCTGAAAAAGACCGTGAATTGTAAAGGAATAAGAGAAAACTGAAGTGAATTGCAGAGTATGTACTATAGTAGTACTGTAATGACCAGCCCATCAGATGCTTGTCCAATATTTATATTACCTGGAAAATATAGAATGGATTCAGTGCCTCAAGGAACAGCAGCTGGTTTATTGGTGTAACTGGAACCTTGATGGTGTTGTCCCCAAAGATGAGTCGCCTCCGAGCTTGTTCAATCCAGTGCAGTCCTCGATAGTGATGAAGGTCTTCTGCCGATTGCTGGTTTATAATAAAATTTATTATTACTGAAACAGTTCATATCAATAAAAGATACAGTTTATAGCTACAAACATACCCAACACCTCGACTTCTGGCATGACATACAGCTGATATTAAAATAATTTCTGTAATTCATATTTTTTTTAAATAAAGATAAATGTTCAAAACTGTATTGTATTGTACAGACACATGACACAGCATGCAAAACTTCACCCTTACAATTACTGTACAGAACAACACTAAAACATTTCATTTAAAAGTTCACTGTCAATTCATTAATATACTGTAATGTACATTTATATACTGTACTGTACTCTACAACACAACCTGCATAACAAAATACTGTAACTTAGTTTAATCGACTTAGCTATAACTTGGCCCTGTATCTCTTATGTAAGACAATGTATATAATAACAAATACTAAAAAGACTGAGAGTCTACCCAGATGCACCTCAGCCCATCTCCTAGAATAAACAAAACATTGTTTTTTGTAGTATTATGTTAAAACAAACACTCATAAATCAACACAGCTAAAATTATGGGATGTGAAATGGTCTGTTTACTGGCTGGGAAGATGGGGGGGGAGGGAGGGAGGTGAGGTGATATGTTTGACAGTTGATGCCAAGGTCTAATGCTTATTTATTTATCTGTCCTTAAGAGTGACTAAGTTTTTCTCTTATAAAATGTCCCTGAACTGACATGTTCAAATTAATTGTATTACAAAGGGCTAAATAATTTATCTCTTGTGCAAAATATATGACGTTTATATTCAAATTATTTGCTGTCTTGCAAGGATTCTAACAATGCAAATAATATTCTTCTAACTTTAGTCTGTGATATTATATAAGGGGGGGGGGTGACAGTGACACTCTGACAGTTGGGGCCGAAGGTCTAGTGAAGTATTTGTTTATTTATGTCCTTTAGATTGAGTTTTTGTTTTTGGTTTATAAAATGTCACAGAAGTTACCAGGGAGAATATAATTTACATTGTTGGAATTCATACAAGATGTTGATTAATTTGAATATAATCATGCTATAGTTTGCACTAGACAAAAATTTTAGTAATCATTTAGTACATTATTTTGAGTACATGTACAGTACAGCTTTGCCCTTAGGACAGTGTAGGTGCCCAGAGAAACATTAGGCGCGAATTTGAAAATATGATGCACCAGATTGACTCGCGCAAAATAGGAAAGATTAGCTTTAAATTAAAACATTGTCTTTAATTATGGGTGTCGCTTTAAATCAATAATGTAAAATTGAATCGCTTTAAATTGACGTTCTACTGTACCTCTTCAGCGTTGAGTATCATAATAATAATAGCTTTATAATGTGCACTACCCTGACCTGTACCCTACCCTCACCTTATGTTGTTTCTGAGTAAAAGTTGTGACTTTGAAATATATTTGTCTGATCAGCTTTACAGAAAAAACACAACTAAAAATTATCCTCTGTAATTTAAAATTATCTCTATCCACACCAGAAGTATCACATTTTTTATTTATTTCTATTCCTTAATAATTACAGTATTAATAAATATAAATGCAGTAATCAATTTTAAATCAAATTACCATACAGTACCTACATACTACTGTATACATAAAACACGAAGTAGCTTACCCCAGCATCCAATCCTGCTAGTCTGTAGAAAGACTCAGTGTCTAAGTCCCACAGGTAAAGGATTTTTTTGCACGAAAACACACGTACGCTGTCCACCTCTGAAGAGCACAATTTTTTTTCTTTACTGAACCATATACAGTATGAAAGCAACACCAGTAATACCATATTGTATGCCTGACTCCAAAAACAAGTAATATATCAGTATGAAAAATATAAATATAAAAGGATCCAGAATATTAAAGTACACAATGAACCAGAAAATACAGCAAAAAAAAACATTATACAGGCATATGTATTATTATTGATATGAAAATAACTCTCTCAACAATAATAAATTCACTCAAGGAAGACTTAAAATTATCAGCCGACACTTCTAATAGTTCACGTCATGTGAGGTCGACTCAAAAAATAAAAGAACAAACATATACCTCATTTTATTAAAGGCTTTCTGTACCCAATTAATTCATTATTAGTTACTCTGTTTCTTTACGTGACTATTCTGTTCACCAATGATTCGCTCTTACCTTTTATGGTTCCATTTGGGGCGGGCGCTGCCAAGGTGGCGGGTATGTTGAGGTCGTCCAGAGGCTGACCCCCTTCACCAGTATTGTTCATGCCACTGCGCAACACACTGTACTGTCTCTCATAACTGTAAGTAGTCATAATGTTGTCTAGAATCTTTGTGTTACTAAGTTAGAATTAATAAAGATCTAATATTTCCCATGATACACATATTTTACAGGTTAATACTTGTACCTACAGTATAAAACAAATACTGTAATATGTTATCTACTGCATTTATAAATTGACATCTGAAGTTACTAATTAGTCATTCTGTAAATTCACAAGTCTTGAACTAAAAGACTAAGTAAAGTAAAGTGTAATATCTGTCAACCAAAATTACTTTATGGCATAGTCTCGTTTATGTAAGATTTGAGTAGTTTAAATTCCATTCTGCATTTGATCACACAAGTCCCCTGATGAGTTATTGCGTCATCTCCTGTGTGTTGTCAGCCATCTTCACACCTCCCAACTTTTCTTCACTTCCAAATTCCACAAATTCTCTTACAACTCTTCATCTTTTTTGTACATAATTAGCATAAAAAATGTAATAAAATATAATGATTTCATTTAATTTTCAACATATTACCTGAGAGTAAATGATAAATATAAAATAATCAGGCAACTAACTGAGTGACTGTGCTGGTAATGTAAGTTATACAGTCATTGCAGGAAAATGATGACACACTGAAAATTGTGAGTGTTAGAGAATAATGAAATAAGTTAGTGCACAGATACAGGTATTTGTATAAACTAATTACCTATACAGTATATCGTACCGATAGCCAAACTGACACAATTACTGAACTATGGCTTATTGCAGGCTTTTCTTGCACACACATTCCTGATAGTATCCACTTTACATAATTATCCATTTTATGGAAGCCTCTGGTTCCAAACTTTTCAGTTGACAGATACTTTACTTTTTTATATTAATGCTTTAAATTAACAGTCAATTAAGTCATGCCTGGCAGAAGCTTTGCCTCAATCAACACACATTAGTAGCTCAAGGCAATGTAAGGACAAACAATGGACAACTTAGCAAATTCTTTAAACCCTCACAGACTTTTTAAATAAAGCAATCACAACAATTAACTTCTCAAGAAAGTATAAATGTCCTCACCAACTCCCAACCAGTAGTACTGCACAATGAGCTGACAATGGCATACAGGATGAATTATTACACTAAGCATACAATTTATAACATCTATAAAACACTGATGCTGTTTCAATATCTAAGCCGCTAAAACTTGGCTTAATAATCAAAATTAATTGCTTGGTTGTCCAAAGTTGGCCAAAAGAACCGTGAAATTATTTTTTCTTTCCACTGATTTATAATATATATATACAATACAGTATATTTTTTTAATCTATCTGCAAGCATGAAGTACATGCTTTTATAAATCTCCTGAATCACAAAAATTATATAAACATAAGTTCATTCTGCTACTGGGTATAGAATAAATCTAATAATCAACAAGTATGACAAAATGTCAATTTCCAACAGCCAAAAAGTACAGTACCCGTACAGTAAAGTAAAAATATATCCAAACTACAGTAGAATTCCAGTGATCCGGTATCCAGGCAACCAGTAGATTCAATAACCGGCACCAAGATGTAATAATAATAAAAAAAAATCCTCAAAAACCAGCTACAATCGTTAATTTGAATACCGTGCACAATGGGGATGAGTTGCCATATTTATTGCTATTATAAACAATAAAATTGATACATAGCATATCATAAAATACAATAGCACATATTGTACTTTATGTTAAAAAAATAACTCCTTCCCTCCTTCTGAGAGATGCAACACAGGCAGTCACCCAGCTGACTCACAAACATGTAGCTGCCGCGCTAACTTTGTTTATGCCATAAAAAATGACATCACATCAGCAGGCAGCACAGCCACAAAGTTATAGCCCAGTAACCCACCGCCTCATCACACATTTTTATTTCCCACATACACTCTTCCTTTTTCTTGTCTTATAGTTGTATATTATATTTTCAATATTTCTAAGTCATATTAAAATATTGTAATGATTTTTCCACAACTTTTATAGTTTCATTCCAAGTAATATACGGGGTGGCAGGGCTGGCTGAGTCGGCGATGTAGTTATAGCTAAGGCCTTGGCTATAACCAACTCAACACACAATCACTATTCCACTTCTCACACATACACACCCATGCTCATCATTTTCTTATTTTATAGTTTTATATTATATTTCATTTCTTTATAAGCCACATTACAGTATTGTAATGATTTTCAACAACTTTCATAGTTTCTTTACAAGTAACAATAAACATGGTGGCTGGGCTGGTAAGTCAGACATGTAGTTATAGCCCACCACCTACACACACATTCACTTCCCACACATACACACCGATGCTCTTCACTATTCAAATTTTATAGTTTCATATTATATTGTCTTTATTTATTAGCCACATCGTTTATATAGTGTGGAATAATTGTTAAAGAAGTCAATTTTTCCGAGACATGAATTTGCTAGGTCAGCCTGTAGCACGGTGCATTGTAGGATTTATTGGAGGGATCCTGAGAGTGAGTTTCAATTAACCAGATAACTGGGATTCTACTGTACCCTGTATAAGTATTTTCTAATAACTAAATGACAAAGAAACAAACTATATTTCACCACAACACACAACAATAGTGAGGCTGGGAAGGGATAAGACTATGGCCTTACAAGATAATCCCGACACATTTGGTCTCCTCCACTCTCCGCATGCTCAAATCATCCCAGTCTTTCTCTACGTAAATCTATGACAATACACTCAATATCCAGCCGCCATCTTAGCTTTGAACAGGGTTTCCTATCATTCAGTACCACATTACACATCCACCTCAGCATTCTCAATTCAGCTCACTTAACCCTGCATATGTCATCCTCTGTAACTGCCATGTTTCACTGTCATTCAAAATCAAACTTCTCACACCAGATGCATACATCTTTCCTTTAACACGGAGGGAAGGTCCTCTTGCCATCAATAAAGACAGCAACTCCGTAAACTTCCCCAAGCCACTTCTGACTTGCAATTGATGGTCCAATGAGTCATCAACCTATATCCAACAAAACACACTTCATTCCAACACCAGAACGACTGGTGGTGATATTTCTTGTAAAATCATCACCCATAACCAACTCTGGCATCATACACTTAAATAAACAAGCTGTTACATTTACAGTATTCAAATTTTGAGTGACTGAACAAAAATATTCTATACTCCCCAGTATCTACTGTACTGTATATCCATTTTTAATCTGCACTAAAGGATTTTCAATCTGATTAGAGTGGAAATGACAATCTGCTACACCAAAACGTTGAACAAAAGAATCACAATTATCCTATTATTATAAATAAGGCACAGCAACAAAATCAACTTAGCATTATTAAAATGTACTACAAATTCTTAAGAATTTTTCAAAAGTATAAGTCTTATGATATGATAAATTTGTACTACAGAAGAGATCCAAAAACTGATAGCATTTAATATGAGTCCACTCTTCTCTTTTACAAGACATAATTAATAAGTTAAAACACTTGTTTCTATACAGTACCAGTTTCTCACTAACAAATTCTGAAGTAATACATACTGTGCTTCATTCCTCATGACATAATATAAAGTGGTAGATTTCATGCAAGACTTTTTATCAGAATAACTAGCAACTATTTCATGTTTGAAGAGGTAATATTAACACTACATGACACCATGCCAAAATACATGCATTACAAAATGAATCATGCAAAAATCAATTAAAAATATTATTCCATAACATGAAGCAAAATCATGTCTTCTTCAACATGAACATAGACAACATGGGATAAAGCGAATTAAAGAGATTAACGACGGGAGGTGATAATGCACGACTGGGAAACAAAGATGTGAACGTGACAAAGTACCTGGCATCAACCAAGAAATAGAGGAGATCCTGAAGACACACCCACACTGTATAACCTGTGGCTCTGGGGAATAAGCTTTATGAGGCAGGAGGGAGGAAAAACCAACATATCAGAACTAGGAAATAAACTGAAGATATGATAACACCTTTTTCAATACATAAGTGTAAAAAAAGTACTTCCACATTAGAAGTAACATCTTAAATCTGTGTACAGAATTTCTTAAAAAAAAAAATAAATAAAATAAAATAAAATAAAATAATATAATATATATATATATATATATATATACACCTAGACCCCGACTTACGACTACGTGGACTTACGACCGTCGGGACTTACGACCGCCTCAGATATAGATTTAAAAAAAAAAAAAAAAAATTTTTTAAATGACACACGCATTTTCTATACCGAAACGTTTCCAGTTAATGCAGTCTCCATGTATAATTAGAAAATTATGGGGGCCCCATGTGCATTCAGCTGACTACTGTACATTAAAGGTTAAGTGCTCAGTCACACTGTATCCATTCCTTATTATTTATTACTTTCACTGTACTGTATCCATTCATCATTATTCATTACTTTTACTGTACTGTATTTCATTGTAGATTTTTTATTAAAAAAAAAAATAATAATAATTTTTCTATGTCGACTTACGACCTGGATTTGGGTCCCTAACCCCGTCGTAAGTCGGGGTCTAGGTGTGTGTGTGTGTATATATATATATATATATATATATATATATATATATATATATATATATATATATATATATATATATATATATATATATATATATATATATATAGTATATATAACCAAGTACTTTATGGTTGATTTAAGGGAGTTTCAAGGGCAATTTTGCACCACCCATATTCACGTTTTTGGCTCTAGGCACCCTTTTTGGAACATAATCCCCACATAAGATGCGACACAACTGTGCTTTGTTTCTGGGCACTAAAATGCAAAAATGCTAAATTCAGTATTGTCAATCTTAAATAGTGCTAAATATAATTATTAATGTAATCTACACTACAATGCTTTAAAATGGGCCCCCCAAAATCCACTGGATATTGTTTTTTACACAATTTAAATCCCTGACTATTGTACTTTTAACAGATTTTTTATGACACTTTAAAGAACCATCTACATCATCATTTATTTTCAATTTTGAAAAAAAAGAAAAGCTAATCAACAAGTATGCCATACAGCAATATAATATACCCGTACTGTATACAAAGACAAAAAGAGGCTTCACCTCTTCTCGCTTACCAGACACTGTGAGCGTGAATTTCATGGATGCTCTTGACAAAATTCCTCTTGTACTTTTTGAAGTACTCCTGGAGATAAAATATGGCATCATTAGTAATAAACACAGGTTCTTCCTATTAATATCTTGGTTATAGTGCTACCTTAATTATCACCCATCAACAACTATTGTTCAGTCAGTCAAAAGTCCTGTCGCCTCCCCTGCTAATTCACGAACCTCGAGATTTAGACTAATGAATCAGAAGCAAATGAGGACAGAATAATGCATCAGTGTCTACTGCTTTGGGTTCACAAGTCTGAATCTTGGGGTTACTGTACTTTACACTTCCATCTGTACTTTTATTGATATTTCTGAACATATTTGACAACTCTGATTTTATCTTACTAATACAACATACATATAAAAGATAGTGGATAAGCTAAATCTTGTACTACAGGTCTACAACACTTATCACTGCCTCACGTTATGGAAGTCAGTAATTTAATCTATCTAATACACCACATTATGATTCTTGCTTTGTTGTTTCTGCTCAAGGATTTTAATTACAATATTACATTATATAACTTCATCCACACGAGTAAGTAGAATATATAAAAGAAATAATTACATTATTAAGTTTATAACAGTATGCCCTATAAATATTAAAAAAAAACCAAGTACTTACAACAACAAGAACTTTGGAAGCTTCAGCCAGGGAACAGCGGCAGTGGGTGGCCTTCAACATCAACTCAGGTACCCAGTGGAAAACCAGACGCAGTAGTCCAGCTGACAAAACTATGAAGAACCAGGTGACACCCGTCTTCATCCCAGACCGTCGATACCCATAGATCTCCTAAAATATAATCATGTCTATTATTTACCAAAAACAGCAACTACTTTGACACACACACACACACACACACACACACACACACACACACACCTAAAGACATAAAACAAACATCTATAATTGTAAATATATTAGATATCCTCAACATAACACTGGAACAGAGCAACTAAGCAACACATAAAGATATATAGAGTCTGCAAATCAGGAGAGAGACAGAAACTCCTATACAGAGAAGGTAACAAGATAAAAAAAAAAAGTGCCAGGAATAATTAACAAGGGAAGTGCCAAAAATAAGTCAAGGGAAGTGCCAGAAACAATTAACCTAAAAGGAAGTGCATGAAAAAGGTAACAAGAAAAGTTCCAGGAAAAGAGTAACAAGGAAGGTGCCAGGAATAAGAAAAAAAGAGAGTATCAGGAATAAGTAACAGAGAAAGTGCCAAGAATAAGACAGTGTCAGGAATAAGAAACATAGTGCCTGGAATAAGTAACCAAGAAAGTGCCAGGAAAAACTAACAATGAAATTGTTAGTAGTAAGTAACAAAGAAAGTGTCAGGAATAAGTAAGAAATTGGCCAATTGGAGAATTACAGTGTAATACATGTATCTGTATGCAACTGTCTGCCACTCACCGCCTGTTCATCCTGATTGGCATTAATGTAATCCACCCCGGGCTGTAGCTCAGGTCGACCGCCATCACGATCATCTAAAACAAAAATACATACAATAAAATGACAATCAGATGAAGATATACTGTACACTCAGATATGATGGCCCTGGAGAGGTGTATGTATGTCAGGGTGTACTGTATACTTTCCAAGGACTTAACCAAGAATTAATTCACGCGTCATACCTAAGGAACTGTAACGAATACACCTACCACACCCCCACACACAATCGGACCACGTCAAGACTTAGGCAACGTATACAGGTAAGGTTAAGTTAGCTTCAGGGTGTATAACACTGGTCAACAGCCAAAATGGTTCACATATGAGATCATGCTCACACAACTAATTTCATATTGCTGAATTCGAATCTGATATTTGTTTTGTTCTATCAGACCAGGTTTGATAAAAAAATCAATAGGTACAAATATTTAATATTCCATCACGTGTCGTGCAAAAGATGAGATTATCTCATATGACTGTGCTTTCATGACTAATTTCATATTAATGAATATTAATTGGATGTTTCATTCTACCATCAGACCTACTTTCTTAAAGAATAAAAAAAATAGTAAATATAGTAACATTATCGCGTCATGCAAGATACAATTTTAAACCTATCACAGATAAGCTCATAAAAAATTGTACCAAAAAACATAAGTTCAAATCCTTTATAATGACAAAATATGAAGTTCTAAAAGTGCTTCTGAACTTTACTCTTTCTCTTGTACAGCTTGCTCTCTTCTCGTTGCAGTGTCCAGCAATAGTCGCCCATCATGTTAGGACTGAATTGTCCCTGATATCTGCTCTCCATTATGGCGATATCTTGATGAAATCTTTCGCCGTGTTCATCACTAACGTCTCCAAGGTTACCTGGGAAAAATTCAATATGAGAGTGGAAAAAATGCAATTTCAAGGACATCCTTGCTCCCAATGCATGATAATTCTGAAGCATGGTTGTTACGATTTCTTTGTAGTTGTCAGCACGATAGTTTCCAAGAAAATTCTTTGACACATTGACAAATGATTCCCATGCTTTTTTCTCCAGTGGGTTCAATGTTTTGGTGAATTCGCTATCATTAACTAGTATACGAATTTGTGGTCCATTCAAGACACCTGCTTTCAACTTGGCTTCGGAAACCACACCACCTAGTTTCTGAGATAAGTATAGAGTCCCAGCACCGAATTGATCCATAGCTTTGATGAAATTTTTAGCCAAACCGAGCTTTAGATGCAGTGGAGGCAAAAATATCTTTTCTGGATCTACAAGCGGATTGTGAGCACAGTTAAACCTTCCAGGCGCATCTCTTGGTCTTGTCGGCCAATCCTTTCTCACATAGTGCTCTGCATCAGCTCTGCTGTTCCACAAGCACAAAAAGCACATGTGCTTTGTGTAGCCACTCTGAAGGCCCAGTAGTAAACTGATGACTTTGAGATCGCCACATATCTTCCACTGGTGTTTCTCATACTCTATAGCGGCCAACAGAATTTTCATTGTTTCATAGCTCTCAGTCATTTTTGTTGCGTGTGCTATTGGGACAGATGGAAGCCGATTGCCATTGTGTAAAAGAACAGCTTTCAGAGAGTCTTTTCCTGAGTCTATAAACAGCCTCCAATCCTCTGTCTTGTATGTTTCAGACTTGCAGAGTTGTTGCATGAGAGATACTGCGTCCTCGCAATAACAAAGGTTGTTTGCCATCTTGAAAAATGCAGACAGCTGTCTATGTCGGTAACGCGCTGTAGTGATATGCACTCCATCTTCTAGCAGGTTACGCTGCTTTAGTCTGGATCCCAAAACTTCAGCCTTTTCTTTTGACAAGTTTAGGTCCCTGATGAGATCATGAAGCGCTTCTTGAGTAAATAGTTTAGGCCTGGTATTTTCAGAGTCATCCTGGTAGTCGTTTTCCATTGAGGTAGAGGTAGAATCGGAATCACTCAATTCTTGTTCAGTCGGTGGATTTGGGACTGGAAGTTCAGCACTGTGCGGTACTGGTCGGATTGCAGAAGCAATATTGGGGTACTGTACCTTGCCTCGTGTCTTGATTTTTATTCCCTTAATATTTGTGAGACAGAAGTAGCAGTCACTACTGTGGTCTTTAGGTTCACGCCATATCATTGGTACAGCAAACGGCATTCCTGAACTTCGTTTACCACACATCCACTCGCTCAGGTGGTTAACACAAGACTTACAGGCTACATGAGGTGCCCATTTCTTGTCTTGGTCACCCAAATGACATTTGAAGTAACTTTTGTAGTTCAGTCGAACAGCTTTTGTGATTGGTTTCTTGAGGCTACCAGGAGTGAAGGCACCACATATGTAGCAAAAACTGTCAGCACCGTTCACACACTTGCGACGTTCCATGTTTTGTTAATTTCAGAGTAATTACAAATCATGCAGGTGTAGATATGCAATATCATGAATCAGCAAACTGAAACAAACAAAAAAGCACAAATCAGGACAAAATAATTGCATAAGTGGAGCCAATGAGCATATAAATTACTGTATGAATAGCATGGTACACTAAATATATAGATATGCTGGTTCTGGAAAACTGAGCCTGATACAGCTATACGAATGTCATAATTGAGTTCAGCACATACAATTACACTAGAATCAGACTGTTTTGATCCAGAACCATGAAAATTTTTTTTTATGTTGACCAGTGTATAATCTTAAGGTGAAATCAGCTGGGTTAGGTTAGCTTTAGGGTGGTGAATCTTCAGGTGAAATAAGCTGTTAGGTTAGATTAACTTTAGAGTGGTTAATTTTTAAAGGTGAAATAAGCTGGGGTGTCCATTAATGCGATGAAATAAGCTGCGATGTCTAACCTTAGGTCATCCAACCCTCAGTCAACTGAAGGTGTAGTAATACCAAGACCTTGACCACCTTAGCCCAGTTGTAAACACTGATGAAACTTGGTAACACTGCCAGGTATGCTATAAGTACAGGCACGACTAATCTCTCTCTGATGCACACACACACACACACACACACACACCTGGTATCATTTTTAGAATATTTCCTGTACAATTATCTATGACCACTGATAAACTCGTCACCCTTCACCCAACACCACCACCTCCCTCACTACCACCATCACCACCACCTCCCTCACTACCACTGTAGTGGAATTCTCCCCTACAAACGCTGTTTGTCGCTGCCTAGCCGACCCCACCAATTCCCCAGTGTATGCCTCGTGGTCTAGGTCAACCAGCGCCGCCATACACCACGGAGCGGGGGTCAACTGCTAAGCCACGCCTACCCCCGCTATTTAAGACCTGACCTCGTGGTGATCTCCCTCTCTTTCTACCTACACCAACCAGCCAGCAACACCTCCGCCTGCCTGGCGGTCCTCGCTCCTCCGCCTGCCTGGCGGTCCTCTCTCCCGCTGGCGAGCATGGCGACCCACAAGCTGTCCTTCTCTGAGCGTCCTCACCAACCAGCTCTCTCTACATCACGCTTGTAACCATGCTGCCTTCCCAGCACCAAGCTGCATTGTACATCCAATACAACATGTATATAGAGAGCACATTGTGAGTTTCCTTTCTCCATCCCATCCTGAGTGTGAACCAAACAATCTCATACCCCACAAATGGTGACTCCCGGAGTGACGCACTCACACAGGATGGAGGAGAAACTGATCACGCTCCCAGTCTTCAAGCAACATGGAAGATTGGCTTATCCACACAGAAGCAGCTCTCATCGACTCTACAGCTACTGTCTCTACACCGCAGGTCAGACACCCTAGAGCAGCTCCTCTTCCGACCCCAGCACACCCGTCCTGCCTCAGACGCCGACCCCGGCCCAGCAGTAACCCCTGCCGCCCCTGATGCGGCCTCTGTTCCTGAGTGCGGACCCACACACCCCTCTTTTCTCCCTCAGGTACTCCCTGCTAATGTCCTGCACCCTGCTGCAGTCGTGGACCCAGCTGCTGTCACGAGCCCTCATCCGCTGCTGCTGACACAGCCCCTGCTCCTGACCCAGGTCCACACACCCCAGCAGGCGCATCTGTCGACTCTGTACCTGCCGTGAGGGAAGCACAACATTCATCGCCTCCACACACCCTTATTCTCCCTCTCTACTCCCACAGATATTGTGTATCTAGACAGTTGTATCCAGCGACCGGCTCATCCACGCCATCGCCGTTGTCTCACATGAGGCACGCACCGCCCGTTCTGCCTCACATGTGCTATGCAACCCTGCAGACAACAAGTCTCCTACACAGCCTGGAGGGAAGGGGGAGTATTGTAGTGGAATTCTCCCCTACAAACGCTGTTTGTCGCTGCCTAGCCGACCCCACCAATTCCCCAGTGTATGCCTCGTGGTCTAGGTCAACCAGCGCCGCCATACACCACGGAGCGGGGGTCAACTGCTAAGCCACGCCTACCCCCGCTATTTAAGACCTGACCTCGTGGTGATCTCTCTCTTTCTACCTACACCCCAGCCAGCAACACCTCCTCCTCCGCCCTGCCTGGCGGCCTCGCTCCTCCTCCGCCTGCCTGGCGGTCCTCTCTCCCGCTGGCGAGCATGGCGACCCACAAGCTGTCCTTCTCTGAGCGTCCTCACCAACCAGCTCTCTCTACATCACGCTTGTAACCATGCTGCCTTCCCAGCACCAAGCTGCATTGTACATCCAATACAACATGTATATAGAGAGCACATTGTGAGTTTCCTTTCTCCATCCCATCCTGAGTGTGAACCAAACAATCTCATACCCCACAAATGGTGACTCCCGGAGTTCGCACTCACACAGGATGGAGGAGAAACTGATCACGCTCCCAGTCTTCAAGCAACATGGAAGACTGGCTTATCCACACAGAAGCAGCTCTCATCGACTCTACAGCTACTGTCTCTACACCGCAGGTCAGACACCCTAGAGCAGCTCCTCTTCCGACCCCAGCACACCCGTCCTGCCTCAGACGCCGACCCCGGCCCAGCAGTAACCCCTGCCGCCCCTGATGCGGCCTCTGTTCCTGAGTGCGGACCCACACACCCCTCTTTTCTCCCTCAGGTACTCCCTGCTAATGTCCTGCACCCTGC